CCATGTAAAAATGCACTGCTACGACTGCAACGTTTGCTATATCGGATTTTTTAGATTTTTTATTTGTAAAATAGTAGTATGCAAAATTATTACTAGTTCTTAATCATTGCCATGTGTCCATTATACAAACTCAAAATCTAAAAGAAACTATATTTTCATAAAAAAATGGGCAATTGAAAAAAAGTCATCTGTAACAGAAAACGATTTGATTGAAATAAATGTAATAAAAAAATTATAAAACATAATAATTCAAAAGCACAAAAATTGCATATATCAGTGTTTTCCAATGTAAGGCCCAATTTAAAAAAAAATTATTTAAAAGAACAAACACCTAAAGAATTACAAACTCTCTATACAAAATGAAGTGCAACGACTGCAACGATTGTTATATCGGATTATTTATATTTTTAATTTTTAAAATAGTAGTATATAAAATTTTTACTAGTTTTGATCATTGTCATATGTTGATTATACAAAATCGAACTCTAAGAGAAACTATATTATCTAAAAAAAAATTGGCAATTGAGGAAAAATCTCTAAAATTTAAATAAAAACAAGAAATATAAAACAAGTCAAAAATAATAATTAAAATAGATATTTCCAAATACAAAATTAGCAAACCAGATTTTTTGGTAAAAATAAATTTCTCGTTCAGGATTAAAAAATAAATTTACACTGAAACTTTATATAAAATTTGCCAATTCATAATTAAAAAAAAAACTCATTTGCGATTAAGAGAGAGAGAGAGAGAGAGAGAGAGAGAGAGAGAGAGTACTTGCATGTTTTTTCATCATCATACACATTTTCTATTCCAATATATTTTGAAATAAAAATAAAATATTATTTAATTTCATTTATAAATCTGTACTATAAATAGTACAGTCGGTTTATATTTCTAATACATAATAAATCTATTATTACTATTACTTACGGACATAATTATGTCCTTAAACCTTGTTAAAATTTTCTATCTTGCCAAGTTTCAGTTCGTGTAGATGTTATTGTAATTATTTCAAAGTAATTAGTGATCATCTCGTTTTTCCTGAATTTTCTTTACATGATGGCGGTCTGTTTGAATTTCCAATTAAACTGTGTTAATTAACTTCATCGTAATGCAATTTTTGCGAAAATTTGGTACTGAAAATTTTGAAAAATCGTTTTTGGAAAACTTTGATGAACGGTTGTGACGTTGGTGGTCAATCTAGTGGGTGAATATTTGGATTTTGTTTGAGAAAAAAAATGATAAAAAATATTTGTGAGTGAAAAAATGGTTTAGTAATTTTATTTAATGATTTATAGAAGACTTTGGTATAGAGGAACATGTACAGGGTGTTCATAAAAAAACATTATTAATATGAATAAATAAATAAGATGAATTTTAACTATATCTAGCATTTAAAATATAATCGAATTAATTCCTACAAATTATTAGAATTTTTACAAACATAATGATTTAAAATAAAACTAGTTCTTTGTACTGAAACTTTTCTAACTTCTTATATGAAATTCTCAATACCTTATATATTATAAAATTCAGTAGTCAATATTAATAAATAATTTATCAGTAATATTAATTTATATAATATTGACATTAGTGTTGAACAAAACGTATTTTTTTAATATAAAACTTGGGTGAATATTTTTTTAAATAAAAATAAAAATCTTGGGGCAAACATTTCTCAAATAGTTAAATTATATATATATATATATATATATATATATATATAATATATATATTATAATTTACCGTCCTTGTAGTGAGTTTTACATTTTGTTTATTTACCAATAAACACAAAACATGTTTTTTAGATAAACCACGTTAAAAACAAGTTTATCATTTGATAATTGTATTATCAGAATCTTAAATTTTAATTCACAAAATTATTAACGACGTAGATGGAAACATATTAATATTTTTAAATTTATATACTATTTTACTTTAAAAGAATGGTATAAATATTATTTAAATTTAAATTATTTTAAAATTATTATATTTCAAAAATGTAATGAAATAATAAAGTTTGCATCACTATTTTGTTGTTGGTATAAAATAAACACGTTTTTTACATAAATGTAATCCAATTATTGACAAAACATTTTTTAGCAAATTCAGCAAATCTCAAATGTTTCAAATTCATCATTTAAGAAAAAAAAATCAATTTAAATTCAGTAAATTTTAAACATAAATTTGGCTTTGATTTGAATTTAATTTTGCCTTTTTTATAATTATTAAATATCTACCAACAAGTGTAAAAGTATTATAAAATTGTCAAGGCCTTTACTCCATGTATTTATTTTTTTCAATTAATTTCACGTTTTTCTATTTTGATCCTAGAATTAGTTTACTCTTTTCTTAATAATTTTCCTAACATTTTCTTTTCTTCTTAAATGCAAAATTCATACCGTTGCTTTTTATAAATTTATAGTTCAATTTTTTTAGCATTCAAGTAAACTGTATTTTTAGCATTCAATTATAGTTAGCATTCAAGTAAACTGTATTTTTCAGAAAAGTAATTATTTATAAAATTATTTAGCCTAGATTTCTAAGACGTAATATTGTATTTTTTATTCGGTTTTTCAGATTGAATAGATATATTGAATAATAATACTTATCTTTGAATTAAATTTTGATATTTCTTAATTTATTCTTTTTTACTTACATGCAAAATATTTTCTACATATTGTATATTATAAATAAATAATTGTATTTATTTAAAAAATTAGCATTGATGTTTTGTATTTTGTTCTATGTCTCCTTTGATTTGTTCATATTATAATCAAACAAATCAGATGATCCTTATTGAATTAAATTCAATTAGTAATTTTTAGTAATTTTTAGTAAATTTTCTTCTTTTTTTGAATGCAAATTTTGTAGTTTATTTGTTGTAACATCATGGATTAAAAAAGAACAGATTAAAATTTGATATAGAAGCTTCTGTAGCAATAGTACTTAAATTAATGGATAAAATAATAAAGTAACTGCTTTACATTAATGAACATAAAAAAATTATAAGACAGAGTAAAAGTCTAAAATTGTTTTTAAAAAAGACCTAAACGCATTTTAGCTAAAAACATTCAAATAAGCATATATGTATTTAAATAAATTAAAAACATCATTTCTAAACTCTTTCACATTCGATATATATATGGAACATACTTTGTATGAAAAAACAATTTCTAAAACATTATTATTAATCTAATTTCATATCAGAACGTGCATAAGTTTATAATATACAATCGTGTAAATTTTCAAAAAATTGGAAGTTTTTTAATCTGTGGCGATATCAAAGCATGAATATATTTATAACATATAAACAAATTTATAAATTTTATATTGATGATTTTATATTGATTGAATTTATTTACAAAAACACACTTTAGTAAAAGACTAGGTATAAATATTTTTTAAAAAAATAGGAATTAAAATGCAGGTAAAAAGAAACAGGGCATTCACTTTGTTACAAAAATTACATTAAAAAAAGAGTAAATTTACTAAAAACATAAAGATTATGTGATATAATATAAAAATAAAATAGGACAGAAAATACATAAAACTGAATATATGTTAGTCTATTTATATTAGTTAAATTTAATACAAAAACACTCATTTTGGTACGAGAATTTAGCTTTGAAGAAACTTCAAAAATGTGTTGTAAAATTGGATGAACTCATTTTGTTGCAAAATAATTTGCTTTTAATTATTATTTTTTTTTTGAATTCTCTTTATTAATTGCAATATGTCCTTACACGATAAAATAAGAAAACATCTAGTCATTTTGACAATATTTGAGCATTTAACATTATTTTTTCAATTTTTAATTTCTTAAAAGTTACTTAATAGTAATCCTTTTTATTTTTGACAAGTGACATTTAATTTTGCTGTCAAATGAAGTAAAATTAGAAAGAAAAACTAAATTATGCTTTTAAATAGAAACCAAAAATATGTGAAATTAAATAAAAAAATCTGTTCACATACACACACGCACATACTTTTTCCAAATTTGGTCTCATTCGATTCAGAATGACTTGAAACGTCGAGAAAACATAAAATTAGCAAATCGGATTTTTTTATAAAAATAATCTTCTCCTTCGAGAAGTTAAAAACACTCATTTTGTTACAAAACAAACTACTTCAGAAAAATAACAATAATATGTATAATTAAATAAAAAAACACTAATTTTTTTACAAAAAAATTTGCTTTGAGGGAAAAACGATTACGTGTGAAACTAAAAAGGACTTGCAATTAACTTCATCATAAACATTTTGGAACAAAAGATTTATTTATATGCACAAATCCTTAATCCTTAAAAAAAAACCTAAAATTCCTTTGAAAATACGAACAAAACTTTATGAACAATTTCTAATAGTAAAAATAATATTGATAAAAAATAATTTGCATTACAAAATTTGTAAAATTATGGCCACAAACTTTGTTGATATTTTGGAACAAAAGATTTACGTATTACCTAAAATTCCTTTGAAAATACGAACAAAACTTTATGAACAATTTCTAATAGTAATAATTATATTGCTATAAAATAATTTGCATTACAAATTCGTGAAATTATGGCCACAAACTTTGTTGACATTTTGGAACAAAAGATTTGTGTACGCGCAGATAATGGATAATCACCTTCGTAAAAAATCCAAAAATACCTTCAATAAATATCTTGAACCAAAATTATTTATATCAAAAACAATTTACCATTTTCTAATATCAATCTGTATCAATATTTTAGAAAGTACCCGGTGAAATTTTTAACATCAACCATTATTGACGACGACGTCACATGGCCAGATGTTTTTATACAAAAATACTAAAAGACCCAACGATTGTAAAATGTAAAACACACTTTATATATAATATAAAATACATACCCCCCACACACACAAAATATTGATATAAATACAAATATCAACATAAACACCTCACAAACATAAATATTTATATTATTCCCATGAGCATATATTTTTTAACAAAAATGGCGATCGGACTTACTCTAAAGTAGGTTATATGATTTTTCCGTCCGGCAAAAGGGAACCGCACACGAACTTTGTTTTGTTTGGATTTATATTTAAATCGTCACTTTATTAATGCACTCGTTTGTTTAATAAACACGATTATTTAGCAAATATTTAACAGATATTTAATGCATATGCTGCTTTATATCTGACCACTCGTTTACACGACAGAAGCTAGACTGAATTGTGTTGACAGTTCGCACACGACGACGCCATTACGTCTTTTGCGTCGTAGAGATTAAAATTAAAGTTTTTGTATTAAAATTTTTATAAAATGGTTTTGTGAAGTGTTTTTGAGAAATTGTGATTAATTTGTTATTGTTTTTTGGTTGTTTTGGAGGGTTTTGTAAGTTTTTCGGTTTGTTTTCATAAGTTTGTTTATATATAGATAGGAGTATCCTCTATGGCTTTGTGTTTGTAAATATGTCGTAGGCAGTGATGTCCAACCTTTTTTTCTTTGGTAGCGGTGTGAAGTTTGGTTAATGTTTAAATTGAAATTTGAAATTAGGAATATAATTATAGATATTTTAAGTTTATTTTAAATATATATTAAGTTATTAGAGAAAACGTTTATTTTTGGGATAAACAGTTAAATATTTATATAAAAAGCTGAATTTTAATTATTATCAAGTCGATTATTTATACGTATCATGGAGAGTTTATAAAATTATATGTATGATGAAAATTTTATAAAAAACTTGTAAAATAAGCACAAGATACAGATATTTCAAGTTTATTTGAAAGATATTAATTGGATTAATTAGTTATTAGTGAAAACGTTTATTTTTGGAAAAACCCGATAAGTATTTATATGAAAAATTAAATTTTATTTATTATTAAGTCGATTTTTTACACCTTTCATGGGAAGTGTATGAAACTTTCCTTAACGCAAAATGATTCTCATACCTTGTTTTTATAATAATTTTAAATATTAATTTATTAATTTAATATATTTAGAAGATTTATTGCATTGTTTTTAATTACTATAATAATATAATATATATAATTTTTACTATTCAACAATTTGCAATTCAATATATTTCTTAAATTTAAAATGGACAATAAACTAGTGGTGTATGGCATCGTGCCTTGAGGCAAATTTCTGGAACTTCTCATAACGAATTAAAATTTTAAAAATCTGAATTATTTGCGATACTATTTTTTTTTTTAATTAAAAACCGAATTTTTGAATAAAAAATTATTTCCCAGAAGCATTTATTTTGTCAAAACAAGCAGAAAGTTGTTTGAATCATTTAAATCGGATGCTTATTTCTCTCAAAAACTGCCATTTTTTGCACATTTAGCTCGGTACCTCCAAAACGGCTAGACTTGCTTTTGCTAAAAACTAATCACCACTTCTCCCAATCATTACAATTAGAATGTTTTTTAGATCATTCAAATCGGATACTCCGTTCTCTCAAAAACTCAATTTCTGTTTTCTGCACTCTTTGCTCCATATCTCCGAAACGACTGGACCTGCCTTTGCCAAAAACTAATCAACACATCTCCTTATCAGTAGAAATCGAATGTATTTTGAATTATTAAAATCGTTTGATCCATTCCCCAAAAATCGTGGACGAAAATTTGTATTCATACATACATACATCAATTTTTTCTGAGGTATGCCAGAATGTTCAGAAACCTTCAAAACGTGAAAAAATGAAAAAAAAATCAATTTCGATTTTTTTGCGATTACTATAACTCACCTTACGGAAAGTTAATAATTATATATTTGTTTAAATTATATTTTTTTGAGTTTTTTGACTCACCCATATATTTTTTAGAATTTTAGTGTCAAACAATTGTGAATGACTTGAGTTAAAATTAGCAAAGTGGATTTTTTGGCAAAAACATAAGTTTTTCCTTCGCTAAGTTAATAATTGAATACTTTTCATGAACATAACATTATTTCTCAATGTGTACCTATTGATAAAAAAAAAATTATATAATGCAAAGTTACATTCTTATCGCATAAATTATCTTCCTTGATATATATATATATATATATATATATATATATATATATTTGTTTTTTCTTAAAGTTGTATGTAACAATCAGATAAAAGTAGGTAATTCTATGAGCTACAGTGAGAAAATAATCTAAACAAATCTATAACGTAATTAAAGGAAAAAAATAAATAAAAATAAATAACTTACTGTAATCATTTTTTTGATTAATATAAATAGAAAGGGCATATCAGGCCGCCCAGTGGTGGTCCTAATATTATTGTTGTTAAACTAAAATAGATTTGATCCTGGTAGTCTTATAAACTAATCAAATTAAACTATACATATTAGATTAAACATAAAATAATCTACTAATCTTATCTAGTATTAAACCTAGGACTAGGTAACTGTAATAGTAATAATAACAAATAAATAGAAATAATAATAATAAAAATTATAAAAAAAAAAAAATAAATAAATAATAATAGAATAAAAACTGTTCCATTGATCAGTTAACTAATTAGTTAATTAAAATAAATTAATATAAATCATATGAAAATTTCCTCTTCAGTCTTCTTGAATTAGGGATCTCAAGTAGTGCTGGAACTATGTGGTTTGGGTGTGTTTCCAATTTTTTGATATTATATAATAATGTTTTTATTTTTCTATCTTTCTGTAGGATAAGAAGGATAAGACATTTTTTGCATATCTTTACGTTTCAGGGTTTCTGAACATTTTGGCTCTAAATAAATAAATTTAACTTTGCAATTCACTATACATAATTCTTATAAATATTAGACAATGTTACAATATTTATTTATAATAATCTATTTGAAAGCATTTAATATTTCTCGATCATTTCGTTACGGTACGGAAAGTTCCAGCAATTTGCCCTAATGCACGATGCCATACACCACTAGTTAATTATAGTCCCAAACAAATCAGAATGACTGAATACATCGATGAAACCATTGGTAAATGCTTTTGCTTACATGTTCCAGTCCGTTACATGAACGATTTGTGACTTGTAGTAACAAGTCCTCGGTAGTATAGTGGTCAGTATCCCCGCCTGTCACGCGGGAGACCGGGGTTCGATTCCCCGCCGGGGAGGATTTTTTTTTGAGGAATTAATAATTTTTTTTTATTTTATTTAATAATAATAAGCTATATTAATCAATAAAATATTGCACTATTGCACATGTTTACGAGTAATGAAATATAAATATCGAGTGCCAGTACATTTCTTTTTGTTCCACTTTTCCTGGTCTAGGAGGATATGTAATTTGCTCCTTAGTATAATTCTCTATTTTTCTTATAACAAGATTAATATCTAAAGCTTAAGGGAAACAACTAGTGTGAAATTTTCAAAAATTCGAATTTTCAATTTTACCATATTTTGATAGGTTATATCTTTAAAAATAATATACCAAAAACTTAAATCGATATCTTAAATAGTTTTTGAGTCACAGCCATTTAAAGAGTTTGTATACAGTATATAGTATAACGATCATTTAATCTTCAAAAGCGTTTTTCTCAAATTTCTCGAATTTGCTGCAGCGATTACTCAAAAACAAATGATCCGATCACTATCAAATTCTTTTAAATGTTCTATATATAGTTCTCCGTAAAATGAACTATCAATTTTTTGATCGGACCAAAAATCGAATTTTGGCAGTCCAAAAACGACCAAAATTTTGGGTAAAATTCGACTTTTTTTAAAAAACGCCGTCAATTTGTCAATTTTTGATTTTTTTTCTTTATCGTAGTTCATTGTACAGACAATATTATCTAGTTTAACGAGATTTTTTTTTTAATTTCATCCACGTAGAAGGCCGGAATCACTGGAGCAGTGAAGGGCCTTTCTTCTGTCGCTCCGTTGGAGATCGACGATAACTTAAAAAGTATTTAATTTTTTTCTTCAAAAATTTCACTATGTATTCTTAAAACATGTATAAATATATTCCAAAAATTTTGAAATGATTGATAAAGTAGTTTTTTTAATATAAATTCCCAAAAATATCACCTTTTTTTAGGCGTTTACACTAGTTGTGCCCCTTAACATTATTTTTTAATTTGGTAGTAAGTATAATTCTTTTCTCTTCTCAGTTTACTCGTTAGTCGTTAATAGAGTCCTCTTAATTTTTTTTCATGTCGAAGTTTATAGTTTTTCTGTTAGTAGAGTTCCTTCTTTTTCTAGCGGTATTTTCTACTAAAAAACGGTTTTTAAAAATTCTCAATTGTCTTCTAAGAAATCTTTTTTAAAGGACTGCAATAACCTTACTGGGGGAAAAATTTGTTTGGCGGCTCTATTTAATTATTATAATTAAATATATATTCTCAATTTTCCTTTTTGCTGCAAACTGATTTATTAATTCAATTTTTACACCTAATGATATATCACTTTAGATTTGCTAAACTTTCTATTTCTGTAAAAAAATAATTTTTGAAAATTTTAAATTTTTTTAATAAATTTCGCTTAAGCACTTTATTGCTTAAGCACCGTAAAATTTATACTGTCCCTACGCCCTTGGTAATATTTTACGTACGCAGTTTGTTTATACTATATAATACTTTATCTTATCTTCAGATTATTTTATATTTTATTATCTAAGTATACACCTTCAGAAATATCCTCATTATCATTGAAAGATATGATTAAGTTTATAAACAACATGTGCACATAATATTAAAGAATTTAAATTAAAATTTGTTAATTAAAACTGAGATAGTCTTATACGAATATTTTGCAAAATAATAATAAAAAAGATAAGTGAGTGAAAATATAATAAATAGATTTAATTGAATAAAAACCAGGCGTTCAACAATTTAAAAAAAATCGTTATAGATTATAAAAACCTGATATACTTTGCAAAATTAAAAAATTATAAAAGTGGGTAAAAATGCAATAAATTAATTAATTGAATTGAATAAACCAAGTTTGTAAAAATTATACACAAAATCGTTTTAAATTATAAAATCCTGATATATTTATTGCAAAATAGTAAAAATAGATAAGTGAGTAGAAATACAATAAATTTATAAAATTAATTAAAAATAAACCAGGTGTTCAAAAATTATAAAAAATCGTTATAGATTATAAAAACCTGATATATTTTGCAAAATAATAAAAATAGATAAGTGAGTAAAAATACGATAAATTAATTAAACTTTTGAATGGAATAAACCAGGAATCAAAAATTATAAAAATGTCTTTATATTTTATAATAAAAATCTCGATTCTTATTGATTTTGTTAATTATTTCATTATCATGCAACTTGCCTTAAGGCAAAGTACCACTCACACCTAGTTTAACATTTTGAATTTGACTAGTGGTGCATGGCAACGTGCCTTAAGGCAAATTGCTGGAATTTCCCGTACCAAAAATTTTAATTTTTAAAAATATTCAATTTTTTTTAGTACTGGAAAAATCGATTTTTAAGGTTTTCAAAATTCAAAGCAAATTGCTGGAACTTCCCGTAACAAAAATTCAATTTTTAAAAATATTCAATTTTTTTTTAGAACTCGATTTTTGAGATTTTTAAAATTTTTGAAAATAATTGAAGTTTTTGAAAAAATTTTTTTCTTTTACTTTGAAATAATTTGGGAATTTTGAACTTTTTTTCAAAGCAATCACGATACGTTAGCTGTGTTCAAAAATTTAATTTAAAAATATTAAATTTTTTTTAGAACTCTGAAAAAAATAGATTTTTGAAATTTTTAAAATTTTTAAAAATAATTGACCTTTTTGAAAAATTTGATTTTTTTACTTTGAAATATTTTAGAAATTTTGAACTTTTTTTTTCAAAGCAATCGCGATACGTTAGCTGTGTTCAAAAATTTAATTTAAAAATATTCATTTTTTTTAGAATTCTGAAAAAATCGATTTTTAAAATTTTCAAAAACAAATGACCTATTTGAAAAATTAGATTTTTTTTACTTTTAAATATTTTGGAACTTTTGAACTTTTTTTCAAAGCAATCGCGATACATTAGCTGTGTTTAAAAATTTAATTTAAAAATATTCAATTTTTTTTAGAACTCTGAAATAAATCGATTTTTGAGATTTTTAAAATTTTTGAAAATATTGGACTTTTTGAAAAATTTGATTTTTTTTACTTTGAAATATTTGATTTACTATTTTTTTACTTGGAAATTTTGAACTTTTTTTTCAAAGCAATCGCGATACGTTAGCTATTTACTATTTATTTTACAAGCCGTCGGTATAATAATATTATAATAAGGCTCAAGTCAATATTTTGCAGATTTAATATAATTTAATTAACTATTAGCTGTTTTATTACATATTTATTTATTATTTAATTTATTTACTATAAACTTATTTATATTTAGTTAATTTCAATTATTTTTAAATATAACTTGTTTGTTGTAAGTATTTTTTAAAAATTTAATAACAAGCTTTACAATACTTTTGAATATAATTATTTTATTTAACAAATTGGTACGGAACCTATAGAAATGTAAACAAAATTTATACACATTATTGGAATTTCTATAAAATATCTTATAATTTGATGTGCATATGTCTAATAATAATGTTTGACCGCCAATTATTATTGATTACGGTAATTATTAAGGCAAAGTACCACCTACACCTAGTTTAACAATTGAAATTCAATAAATAATTTGATTTTAAGCTAAATTTATTTACAGTATTTCAATACATTGTTAATCACAGACAATTCACAAGTACAGTATAAAATTAGTAGACAAATAAAAATATAAAATAATAAACAATATTAATTAAAATATAACTAATATTCTCGTATCTTAAAACTTTTAAAATTAAAATGCATATAAATGGCAGCTTCAAAGTGGCAGTTTAAAATCACAAGAAATCAGCGTAAGGAAATTTGTTCTCTGCAAAAACAAAATACAAATTAGTAAAAAAAAATTCTTATACTATAGGGTCCGCAACTTAATTTATTTTTAACAGAAAAATGTTATGGCAAGGCTATGTTATAAAGAACTTTTCATACTAAATATTGGCAAAAGCCATGTGGTTGCTATGCAGTCAGGCGTAATTTCTCACATTGTCAGATAGACAACCTAACCTAGAAACCGCACAACGATGTTAGATAACAGGGTATTTCTGACTCAGCTTCATAACATACGAGTAACGTTGCAGTTTGTGCGTGAAACGCCTAAATGCACAGCAAATACATGACATTTTGACAGTATTCACTATGATTCAGTAGCATAATGTATGCAAGTTAGAATAAATAACTTAATTTTGTATTACTTTTGTATAAATTATTACTTTTTGGTAAACCCGAACATGCTCAATCTGCTTTGTCCCGAACTTGTCGTCGAATTTTTATTTTTCGATAAACCAGGTCTTTTGCACATCGTTTTTTTCGCATCAGGTTTCACAAATGTAACTTTTTCTGAAAAGGATTTTTTCAGAATTTGACTGACTGCTAAATTAGAGAGCGGTTGGGACAAAGTGGTAGTTGATGTATCTTCATCATCATCTGTAATCTGAAACACAAACATTAATAGAAATATGTAATATATATCTAATTTCTTTGTTCCCAAGGGCTCAAATGCTTTCAAAGTGATAAAAAACAATTATCTAAAAATTTAAGCTCTTAATATCAACATTTAGATAGTCCGCAATTCAATTAAAAGTTTCGTATATTCGTTATTAACATATATCATTAAGTATATTCTAGCGCCATCTATGATAGAAATTAATTAATCAAAATTAAATTATGATTTTTTTCTTAATATAACAATGTTAGTAACAAGATTTTGGATACAGAAAAATACATTGTTTGAAACCCTATTGTTTTTTTGAGTTTGTGAATATGATATTAATATAGTACTCGTTGAGACCTTTCATTTGATACCCCACATGCCATATTTGACATGACTTGTGGTTTGGCAACCCATTGGTCCACTTTTTATTATATCTCTTGTAACTTTTGAACCGTACGTCTAAATCAAATGTAATATTCGGCAAATTTGTGCTAAATTTCATTGTATATAATACTGTTTTATGTAGAAACCTCTCACTAAATCGGTATACTTGCAAATTTGCAAAAAAATTATATTAGGTATCGAATAAATGCTTGGTACGGAACTCTATTGCTTTAGTGTAGTTTTTATTACGATTTTTGTATAGTGCTCGTTGAGACCTTTCATTTGATTAACATGCCATATTTGACGTGATTTGTAGTTTGGCAACCCATTGGTCCACTTTTTATTATATCTCTTGTAACTTTTGAACCGTACGTCTAAATCAAATGTAATATTCGGCAAATTTGTGCTAAATTTCATTGTATATAATACTGTTTTATGTAGAAACCTCTCACTAAATCGGTATACTTGCAAATTTGCAAAAAATTATATTAGGTATCGAATAAATGCTTGGTACGGAACTCTATTGCTTTAGTGTAGTTTTTATTACGATTTTTGTATAGTGCTCGTTGAGACCTTTCATTTGATTAACATGCCATATTTGACGTGATTTGTAGTTTGGCAACCCATTGGTCCACTTTTTATTATATCTCTTGTAACTTTTGAACCGTACGTCTAAAATAAATGTAATATTTAACGAATTTGTGCTAAATTTCATTGTATATAATACTGTATTGTGTAGAAACTTTTCACCAAGTCAGTATACATGCAAATTTGCAAAAAACGATATTAAATATCGAATAAATGCTTTGTACGGAACTCTATAGCTTTATTGTAGTTTTTATTATGATTTTTGTATAGTACTCGTTGAGGCTTTTCATTTGATACCCCACATGCCATATTTGACGTGACAACATTCTGGCAACCCATTGGCCCACTTTGAACACATAACCTCTAATTAAATCCATGTGGACTGTTTAACAAAATATTTATTCATCATGACATCAAAATTATTTATTTAATTGGTAATTTTGGCACTCAAATTATCAGTAATAAAATTGCCATCAAAATTACAAGTCTGCCATCACAGATGGCGCAAGAATTAACCTAATAATAAATATACGAAACGTTTAATTGAATTGCGGACTATCTAAATATTAATTTTAAAAGCTGAAACTTTTACAGAATTTTCTTTTATTACTTTGGAAGAGTTTAAGCCCTTGGGAGAAAGAAATTCTAAAATGTCCATCAAATATTTATATATTTATTTATTCTTACTAGTACAACATCAGACATATCTTCTTCAGCGACGACAGGATTTTTATACTCAGTATCGACGACATTTGTTTTGTCAATAAACGATTCATTCACAAGTCCTTTGAATATTTCGCGAGTGCATTTGTCGTTTTTAAACGACGAGTGATATACTGGAAGACTGACGGATTGGGATTTTTTTATTCGCGTGTATTTGTTGACTAACTGTGATTTTATCGCTTCCATGTCCAATTCTTCTGAAAATAAAATTAAAGTAAATAGATCACAAACACAGTCATTAGAACAGTTCCTGCGTTTTGCAAGAATAGTACAGGTGTGACAACCCGGCGCCAAAAGGAACCGGGTTGTCGTATCGCTCTGTCGATGTGTCAAAACGCAGTCGAATTTATAAAATAATTATCAAGTCGGTGGTTGAAAGTATCAGATATTAGATTAAATAAAACGTGGTGATTGTAATTTTGGATTAAAAATTCAAAAAATTACCCAACCTAAGCACAGTCTAAGTGCTACTCTGGTACAAATGTTTACGCAAGTGCATTTAGACTGTGACTATACGGGAGCACTTTTTCAATTTTGTGTAAATTTGGCAACTATTTTTTTGTTAAAATTGAATTCGAAATGAAATGACGATTGTTAATGTTGTGGAGATAAATTGATTTATAATTTACATTTGATTTGCTCAGATATAACAATAAGATAGCAAAAATAATGAAAGTTACAGCGTTTGTAATAATATATTTGAAAACGTTTAAAATTTCTCGAATATTTCATTACGGTACGGGAAGTTCCAGCAAGTTGCCTTAAGGCACGATGCCAAACACCACTAGTTAACTTTTTTTTTTGATTGAAAATAAATTGGATTCGTGTTTATCAAAGCAAAAATTCTCTGAAAAATTTATAAAAATATGTTCAAACTCTTTTACAACATGCATAATAATTATATGTATAATTAATAATAAGATAAAATAAAAAAATTGTAACAATTTTAATTGTTTCCGCACTCTACAGAGGCGCTGTTAACCGTAGCACGTAAATTTACACTTGGGTTTAATTCTAGACAAGATTTTGTATAAATATATAATGCAAAAAAATAAACCTGATTAATTTGTATAAATAAAATGAGAACAAAATATACGCGTTCAAAATATATTTTCAACTAAATCACAAATATGTTTTAATAAAAAAAATCTGTACTTTGAGCACAGTAGCGCCATCTGTTGAGTGCGCTGAACACTAAAACAAAATAAAGCACATTTGTTATATGTTAAAATAATAAGTTTAAAATTAAAAGACTTACTATCAGATTCATCTAATTTACTCGTACTAGTATCTAAACTATTTCTGCTCGACGATCGTGTTGATCTTGTATTTTCAAAAACTTCTGAAAAAAAAATATTTACAAAAATTATAAAAAATATTATTTTATTGTTTATTTTTAAATCTTACCATCGGATTGGTTTAAATCTGTACTTTTTCCCGATTTTTCACTTATTTCGTCGACTGATGTGGATTTTTTTGAATCGTCAAACACTTCTGCAAAATACCAAAAAATATATTACAATATTAGGGTGGTCCTTAATATGGACATTTTTGAATTTATTTGCTCCCAATGGCTCAAACGCTTCCAAAGTAGTAAAAGAAAATTCTCTGAAAATTTTAGCTCTTAATATTAACATTTAGATAGTCCGCAATTCAATTAAAAGTTTCGTATATTCATTATTAAGTAAATTATTACGCCATCTGTGATAGCAGACTTGTAATTTTGATGGCAATTTATTACTGACAGTTTGAGTGTCAAAATCACCAATTAAATAAATATTTTGATGCAAAATTTATTCTGATGCCATGATGAATAAATATTTTGTTAAACAGTCTGCACATGCATTTAATTAGAGGTTAAGTGATTTATAAATATTTTTAAGTGTGAGTTCACAAATGCTATCACAGATGGCGCAAGAATTTACGTAATAATGAATCTACGAAACTTTTAATTGAATTGCGGACTATCTAAATGTTAATATTAAAAGCTAAAACTTTAAGATGATTTTTTTGTCATTAATTTGGAAGCATTTGGGCCCTTGGGTCCCAAGAAATTTGAAAATGTCCATATTAAGGACCACCCTAATATAAATATAAACTGGACTTTTCAATAAATTGGTATTAATCTAATAAATAAAAATTAGTTTTTGTAGATATCTCTAATTACAACAACATTTCGGAACTAGATACGTTCCATCAGCAAAAACCATTTTTAATGAATCAATAATATTAATGATGATGATTACGAAATATTTTAATGATTAAAGAAGCATAAAATTATTTTTCTGCAAAATATTTCTATAACTGCAGAAATTAAAAAAAATAAAGTAAAAAAATTTTACTTTACAATTTCCAAAAGTTTTCTACATTTTTTTTTCTTTTTTAAAGAAAATGAACATAACCCATTCCTGCATAAGTATTTTAACTTCCTGAAAAAAGTTCAAAATTACCAAAATATTTAAAATAAAAAAGAAACAGTTTTTGCCAAAAATTTTTCTTTCAAACATCATTTTTTTTCAAAATATTAAAGTTTCTCAAAAATCTAATTTTTTCAAAGTTCAAAAAAACATTGAATCTTCTTTAAAAAAAATTATTTTTCGGTGCGGGATGTTCCAGTAATTTGCCTTAAGGCACGATGCCATACACCACTAGTTAATATTCTGTAAACATCATCATCAATATTGTTATTTGCTAAAAAAATGTTTTTGACATACAAGGCAAACCTCGTGATGGAACATATTTAGTTCCGAAACGTCGTAATTAAACATTTATATAAAACTAATTGTTTTTTTATTCATTGGCTCAACCCCTTCCACTCGCTAATTCCGAGATTTATATGAATTTTGCCGTCGGAGCGGCGGCATCCGAGTAGAAAGGGTTAATTGTTTGAAAAAAAAATATGTATATATATTAATTTATTGAAAAATCCTATAAGGGTAGAAAGAGGTATAGCATCCGAGTGGAAAGGGTTAATTGCTCGACAAAGATATGTATGTATATATATCACTTTATTGAAAAATCCTATAAGGGTAGGAAAGCGGTATAGTAAGATATCGCGTGTATTTATTTTTTACCTGAATTTAAAAAAAATCCAAACATTTTCGAAAAAAATCAAAAATTTTACAATTTTTTCTCGTAACTAAAAATACACGTGATGTTTGTTGGGGGTTAATATTGAATATCATCACGAATATGACTTTTTAAAGGCTTTAATCATGTTTTTGGTGCTAATTGATTTTTTTCGTAACCCATGTATAAAACAACGCTTGCCGGGCCAGCTAGTATATATATACATACATATATATATATATATATATATATACATATATATATACATATATATATTATATTATATATAATTTTCTATTATTACCATCGTCTTCTTTCGAATCGCCCTTGAAAAATTTGCTAACGACACTACCCGTCGGCTCAGAAGTCGAATCGAACTTGCTCAACCGTTTGCGTTTACCACTTTTCTGAGGGCTCGTGACAGTCTTGATCAGGGACGTATTTTTAGTTAACTTCATTTTAAAAACAGGAGACGTTATCTCGGGATTTTGTTCGAAAAGTTTTTTGGGAGATTCTTCGCACGGGTCGTCGTCGTTGGTTTTGGCGAACGGATTTCTTGATTTTTTAGGGGTAGTATTGGTGATATTTTGATCTGAAAATATATAGATAAGGTAATGGAAATATATTGATAAGGTAATGGAAATATATGTGGTTTGTAGGGTTGTAAACGTACTATTTGTCGGAGGTTCGATTAATTGTGATTCTTCGACTTCTATGTAAGGCACGTCGTCGGTTTTGGTTGGTTTTCGGTAAATTTTACTAAGATCTGCTACAGACACCCTGTAAATTAATCACAAATAACAATATTACATTTTTAACAAAAATTATATTTATTATTAATTTATTATTATTACCCTTCGTCTGCATTTTCAATTTCGTCCTTAGAAATTTTCTTTACCAATTTAAACGAATCGACGGATAAACTTTTCCCAAATGTCGACGGAAAATTAACTTTTTTGGCATCAACTGTTACAGGAGCTTTTTTAGGGATAAAACGTTTACTCCAGATGCTGTTACTTGTTTGAAAACTCTATTAAAATATTAATATATAATTATTATTTATTATAATTATTATTAACACACTATAAACGGGACTGGTGAAAGTACCCGTCTCGAGGACTGGAGGACATTTTTTTACATTTAGACAGTCCGCAACTCAAAAGTTTCGTTTAAAAAATAATAAAATACTATTATATTAACAAACGAGAAATTGAAGGAGCACATATTGCCCTCCTATATTTTATGTTATTAAAGCGGTGCATTATGAACACTGATCAAGGTTACAACGCTTTTTACGTTTTTTCAAATAACTTTTAATTTTCTTCTCGTACATTATAATTTGTTTACATTAGTAAAAACTAGATAAAATTTACTAAAAGTTAATAAAAGTTGTTGTATACACTTACATAAGAACATTTTGAATAAAACTTGTCGGAACATTTATTTTCTGGTAATATATTTAGCAATACATGAATTTCGGACGTTTTTTTCATATTTTTTTTTTTAATTCTAAAAACTGTTATATACACTTAGATATAAAAATTTTCAACAATTTGTACTTGAAACGCGGACTTTAGTATTTCCATAATTTGCTTCATATGGAATTCGAACATTTTTTTACGTTTCTTCAAATGACTTTTAATTTTCTTCTCGGACATTATGATTTGCTTACATTAGTAAAAACTAGATGAAATTTACTAAAATCTCATATAAAACGGTTATAAACACCTACGTAAGAAAATTTTGAATAAAACTTGTCGGAACATTTATTTTCTGGTAATATATTTAGCAATACGTGAATTTTGGGCATTTTTTTATATTTTTTTGAAATTCTTGGAAATTTTGCACCGGACAATTTGTTTTTATATACATCAGTAAAAAGTAGATAAAATTTACTAAATTCTAGTAAAAACTGTTATATACACTTGGATATAAAATTTTTGAATAATTGTGGATTTTATATTACCATAATTATAAATATATAATTGCATTATATATTTATAATTTGTATTATATTAAATTTAGAACCGTTTTTTACGCTTTTTCAAATAACATTTAATTTTCTTCTCGGACTTTATAATTTGTTTACATTAATCAAAACTAGATAAAATTTACTAAAATCTCATAAAAACTGTTATATACACTTGGGTAGTAAAATTTTGTATAATTCGTAGTTGAAACGCGGACTTTAGTACTTGCATAATTTGCATTATATGGATTTAGAACATTTATTTTTTACGTTTCTTCAAATAACTTTTAATTTTCTTCTCGGACCTTATAATTTGTTTACATTATTGAAAACTAGACCAAATTTACTAAAATCTAGTAAAAACCATTATATACACTTAAATATAAAAAAATTGAATCATTTGTACTTGCAACGCGGACTTTAGTATTACCATAATTTGCTTTATATGAATTTCGAACATTTTTTTTTTGCTTTTTTTTCAAATAACTTTTAATTTTCATTTCGAATTTTATAATATGTTTACATTAGTAGAAACTAGATAAAATTTACTAAAATGTAGTAAAAACTGTTATATACACTTGGATATTAAAATTTTGCATAATTTGTACTTGAAACGCGGATTTCAGTATTTTGATAATTTGCTTTATATGGATTTCGAACATTTTTTTACGTTTCTTTTATTTTATTTTTTTACGGACTTTATAATTTGTTTACATTAGTAAAATGTAGATAAAATTTACTAAAATATAGTAAAAACTGTTACTTATGCTTGGATACTAAAATTTTTAATAATTCGTAGTTGAAACGCGGACTTTAGTATTTGCATAAATTGCATTATATGGAATAGGACATTTTTTAACGTTTCTTCAAATAACTTTTATATTTTAAGCTTAATAATTTGTACTTTTAATTAATAATAATTTTTGTAGTATTTTAACTTTTTATTTTGAGCTTAATAATTTGTTTGCATTAATGAAGTATTGCAGATAAAATTTACTAAAACCTAGTAAAAACTGTTATATACACTTGGATATCAAAATTTTGAATAATTCGTAGTTGAAACGCGGACTTTAATATTTCCGTAATTTGCTCTATATGGAATTAGGACATTTTTTTTACGTTTCTTGATATAACTTTTAATTTTCATCTCGGACTTTATAATTTGTACTTACATTAGTAAAAACTAGATAAAATTTACTAAAATCTAGTCAAAACTGTTATATACTCTCGGATATCAAAATTTTGAATAAAATGACTTTCAAATTAATTTCGTAAATTATTCTTTTTATATAATTTAAATCAACTCACTTCAAAATTCAATTAAAAATGTACAATATAGATTTAATATCAGTTTGACTACTTATAATCCAAAATTTTTGAAATGGTATTAAAAATAAACAAAAAATAATTAGTTTTTATCCATAATTTTACATATCAATTTGTAGTCTGATAATATCAGTTAAATATTAAGAAAATTAAATTGGTAAAAAATTAAGAGAGCAAAAAAAATTTTATTAAAAAAGTTGGAAACCACTGCATTAATATAAATGTATAAAAATTAAGTTAGTTCATTTATATTTTTTTTACCAGTGTCGAATCAGGATTCCATTTATCAACCGTTTTCATAGAAAAAGGATCCAAATTTCCCAAAGCCAATTGAAACGCGATATCATCATCCAGTTTTTCGCCAGCGTTGAAACAATATTTAATATCTGTACCTAAAGTAAAATTATAAGTTAAAATAACCAAAAATTCTCACAAATACAAAATTTGTTATACCTGCTTCTCTAGGATCAGTCAAAGGCATCATTTTCCTTTTCATCGGATTATATACAAACATGTGACGAAATGTCGCATCGGCCATCATAAAACCTTCTCTGTATTCTTCGGTAACGACTAGATTTTTCATATTTAAATAACCTGGTATTCGTAACAAAGCCTAGAAGAAGAATATAAGTTTCTAATAGGGTTTGTCGGTTTTCAAAAACCGGTTTTTTGGCGAAAATTATGGAATTCGAAAACCGTTTTTGAGTGAAAAAAGTCGGTTTTCGCTGTATAAATGGAAAATGACAAATATAGCCAAATGTAAAAGATAGATGAAAGCGTTTTGATTCTTGAAATCATATCGGTTCAATAGCATTTGATATCTTATCAGTCTGCAATGGTTCCCAGAAATGTCTTGTATATAATAATTTAGATTTTTATACTAGTGTATATATTAATTTAAATCAGTGTGACTTCTTCTTGAAGAAGTAACTTCATCTAGTCAAACTTAAAAAAAAGAGTTTTGAACCCCAGAAGCCACAAATAAAAGAACAAAAAACTTAGAATTATTATATCAGGCTTTAAAAACAATTAAGCACAATTTGGTCGCAAGTATTAGAGTATTTTCTATTTTAGGAAATTTTGTGAGTAAACAAAAGACACATCTAAGCAGCAATTCGATAGGCGTTCTCAGTTTTTTTAGATCATATTTTATAAAACAAAAAAACAATTAGAATGTTTAAAATTAATTAATTGAAATAGCTCGGAACAAACAATACCGGAGTTTAGCTTAATTGTTTTTAAAACTAAAATTGATATTAACAAGTATGCGTCAACATGTATTTAATATTTCTTTACTTTTATTTTTTAATTTTATGAATTTTTATTATCTATTAATGTATTATTTTTATTTATTCGAAAACTTTCCTTTCACTATCATAAAAATATGTTCATTCTTATATGTGAAAATGATGCATGAATAACGAATAATTATTTTCATAGTTATTTAATCAAGATAAACTATTATTTTTTAGTTCTGCTAATTAAAATTAAAATAATTTTGTTTACTATCTATAAAATTGAACAATAAATAAATTCAGTCAAATTCTGCTCTAAATTTCACTAAATTTGCGGATAAATTACAGAATATTCGAGCAAAAATTTATTTTCCATAAAAAATTCGAAAACCGGTTGAAACCGGTTTTTTAGTAAAATTAAAATTCGAAAACCGGTTTTCTGAAATGTCGGTTTTTGTATAAACCCTAGTTTCTATTAATATATTCTAGAATAAAGTATTTTTAGTCCTTACCCTGTAAATATCAGGATCCTCTGTCAACTTTATAAATTTGCAAGCCTTTGCAAGACCTATACCAGGAAGAGAATCTAAATAATCACAACCTGATAAAATACACATATATCGAAATTTATCAAACGTATAACGTTCTGGACGAATTTCCATGGCGAGGTGGAACTTTGTACTATCCACTAATGTACCATTACCATTTAGATCCAGTTTGAATAAAATCTATAAATGAAACGTGATATATATATATATATATATATATATATATATACATGTATCTATTATCATTATCCTTACTTTGGTGCATCCAAACAATGTCAAATCAGAGTCTTCAGTAATGACAATATGTGCTATATTATTAACATTTAAAAATGCCAATTGGGCATCGGCTTCATAAGGTGCAACAATGCAGTCTATATTTCTTTTCCTGCATTCTTTCATTAAATTTAAGGCCATTTCGTGTGTTATATCGACGCATCTTCTGAGGAACGAACGAGCTTCGTATCCTTTTCCCAGTTTCAGTAATTCTTGGGCACGTTTTTTAGCATTTTTTCTCGCCCTAATAAATGATAATTGATAATAATTGATATTTAAATAATAATTGATAATCGAATAATAATAATGTAAAAATTTGATATAAAATAAATCATTAGGTTTTAACATTTTAATATTTTTTGCGATAAAATCTAAATTTTTTTTAAAAACATAATTTTTTTGTGAAAATCGTTTTCTACTCGTCGAGACCTTTCAAACGATACCCAACATGCCACAAAAAATACAATCTAAAATTTTTGAAGTAAAACTTCTTTAGACACCTAAGCTAGAAACTTGTTAACAATGTATATTTTGTGGACAAATCACATATTAATTTTAGTATTCGCTACAAAAGTTTTACACTACAGTTATTTAAAAACAAACAATGAATTTTACCATTCTTGAAATTGAAAGATGGTTGTGTATATAATGTTATTATTACAATATAATAATTTTTTGTAAAAATCGTTTTCTACTCGTCGAGACCTTTCAAACGATACCCCACATGCCACAAAAAATACAATCTAAAATTTTTGAAGTAAAACTTCTTTAGACACCTAAGCTAGAAACTTGTAAAAATGTATATTTTGTGGACAAATCACATAGTTAATTTTAGTATTCGCTACAAAAGTTTTACACTACAATTATTTAAAAAAATACAATAAATTTTAACATTCTTGAAATTGAAAGATGGTTATGTATATTATGTTTTTATTACGATATGATAATTTTTTTATTAAAATTATTTTCTACTCGTCGAGACCTTTCAAACGATACCCCACAAGCCACAAAAGTTGCAAACGAAAATTTTGAAGTAAAACTTCTTTAGACACCTAAGGAAGAACCTTGTAAAAAATGTATATTTTGTGGTCAAATCACATCGTTAATTTTAGTATTCGCTACAAAAGTTTTACATTACAATTATTTTAAAAAATACAATAAATTTTAACATTTTTGTAATTGAAATATGGTTACGTATATAACGTTATTATTACAATATATTATTTTTTTATGAAAATCGGTTTCTACTCGTCGAGGCCTTTTAAACGATACCCAACATGCCACGAAAAATACAATATAAAATTTTTGAAGTTAAACTTCTTTAGACACCTCAGCTAAAATTCGTAAAAAGTGGTTGATTTTAGTATTTGCAACAACAGTTTTACACCTAAATTGTTAAAAAAAAATCAAAAAATTTTTAAGCCTCTAATTCTATTTATTTAACATTCTGGGTGTCCCAGAACTCAACGTCAAGCCGAAACAGGGTGCAAAGGTTTTTATTTTCTTACTCGAAATGTTTATTATAAAATTATCAAGTATTTCACCATTTTATATCTTGCCTACACACTTTAGTACACTTTTTTGATAGAGGGTCTCTCAAAATAAAGAAATTTTCAAAGTTTAACAAAAAATGTTAATGCTTGATGCAATTGTTTCATTAGTTTTGACTGTGGTCCTTGATATGTTATTAACATCTCAAAAGTCTAAAGAAGTTTTACTTCAAAATTTTTATATTGTATCTTTTATGGGATGTGGGGTATCGTTTGAATGGTCTTGTCGAGTTGAAAACGATTTTCATAAAAAAATGATTATAAAAAATAATAGAATGTTAAACTTTATTAATTTGTCCACAAAATTTACAATTTTTATGAATTGTAGCATAGGTGACTAAAGAAGTTTTTTTTCAAAATTTTAAATTGGATCTTTTATGGCATGTGGGGTATCGTTTGAAATGTCTCGACGAGTTGAAAACTATTTTCACAAAAAAATGATTATAAAAAATATAAGAATGTTAAAATTTAATGATTTTTTAAAACAATAATTGAAGTGTAAAGAAAATTTTAATTTAATTAGGTGATTTGCCCGCAAAATATACACTTTTTACAAATTTCTAGCTTAGGTGTCTAAAGAAGTTTTACTTCAAAAATTTTGGATTGGATCTTTTATGGCATGTGGGGTATCGTTTGAAAGGTCTCGACGAGTAGAAAACGATTTTCATGAAAAATAATAAAAATGTTATATATAACTGGATTTAATTGCAAAAAATATTAGATTTTTTAAGAAATTGAGATAAAACATTGTCGTAGTGAATACTAAAATTGTCTACGTGATTTGTCCACACTTTTTGCGAATTCGTAGCTTAGGTGCCTAAAGAAGTTTTACTTCAAAAAATTTAGATTGGATCTTTTATGACATGTGGGGTATCGTTTGAAAGGTCTCAATGAAGAGAAAACATTTATATACAGATCTACTTCATAATGGACATCTGTGCAATTTATTTATTGCTAGCAATAATAAAATTACTCAAGATTGTTATATTACAGCTGTGCACTGTGTGAACGAATATTATAGAACTTATTAATCAGCAATTACTTCATTTCTCTAATGCAGTTTCACAAACCGATCATGATGTATTTGGTGTATGACTTTAATTACATTATTGTTTGTAAATATTATACAAGTTTTTAATGCTATTATAAATATCTAATTTATAATTTATCATTTTATAAATGTGTATAATGGTTGACACTAATAAATGTGTGGTGCATCACGAGTGTTACCATATTACTAATAAACAATATTCAAAATTATTATATGATCTATTTATTTATAACTTAAATGCCATCTCGAACAATAGCAAACTAGTTCTACTTGAAACGCGTGTGAACCTTATGCACACTCTTTTTTTTAAAGTATGATTATTACTTATGTATTATTATGATTGTAAGACACTTACTCTCTCCGTTTCACCTCCGTCAACTCCTTAGCAGCCAAGTGTTTACCATCGAACACCAATATAGGTTTAATTTGATAAGAGATCAGTAAATTAATATACTTAAGACAATATTGTATGTGCCTGAAAATATATAAAATACAATAAATATCACATTGTACCCAAACAATGTATACTTCATTTATCAACTAACAAGTCTGTATCAATCCCCTGGGCTAATTTATCAGCACAACCAAAAGCTCCTTTATGAAGCCAACAATAACTATCTATTGCAACTGTGCAGCCCCTAAATTCACTTAAATGAGACTTCTTAGAAGCCTTTTCTAGGAAAGGTAATAAACCTGTTATACCCATCACTAATATTATATTTTAATTAAATTTTATATATGTAATATCATTCTTTGTATCAAACTCAGGTACTTTGTTTATGTTGTGATATATTTATTAACTAATATTATTTATTTTATTAAATGCTTTTAAACGACAGTTGTCATTGAGGTTGTTTGTTTTGACGTTTAGACAAAAACCGCCAAAGAAAGCAATGTGAAGTTGGTTGGGTATTAAGTGTCATAGAGGTTGTCAAAAAATTAGCAGAAAATTGTAATGGACTTATTAATAATTATGCTTATTTATCTATGTTTATAATAATCTTCAATATCTAGAATATACGTTCTAATAAATATGTTAGCGATTTTAAATATTCGCGCCAGAGCAGAGCTAAATATTATTTAGTCTTCGTTTTATTTGTAACCAACTTCATGTGGTCGCCATGTTTGTTAAATTTGAAATGTTTGTAAATATAGAGCAAAATGCTTATTTATATACTATTAAATAATTTAGTAAAGTAAATCAAAATGCGAGATGCATAAAATTAAAAAAAATAATGTATATGTAATTTTGAGTACTTATTGCGTTATTTATTAAACTGAATTATATAATTTCATCTGCCAAACACACATACTGTTGACTGGCTGCTTTTTGCCAATAATAATGTAGACATTACATTCATCTTGTATATCATATTCCAATATTATCTTGGCTCATAATTTCACCAAAATTCAAATTTCAAGTGAATTGACATTTCTAGCAAATGTTTTCAATGTCAAACAATGATAAGTGTTTTTTTGTAATTTTTGCTATTTATTTCTACAATATTATTACAATTTTATTGTTTATTAAATCTTGAACATTTTCTTTGACACACTCTAAAAAGAATTATCAAAATTGGTTTGGGAGAAGTATCAAATCTACACCCGTACAGAAGCATTTTATATATAAGATATAATGAATTTAAACTTTATTTTAAATTTAAAATTATATAAATTTCTATATGTCACGTTTAATAAACAGTGTATTAAAAATAGTACAAGTTTTTTTAATATTCTTCCTGTTCACAATTATATTAATAATGATAAGGTTTCAGTTAGCTTTCAAATTTCTAACTTCAAACTACCTTTTTTTCTTAATAAACAAGATTTATTTACGGGACATATTATTAATTTAAATCGTACTTTTAATATTTAAAATTTTATTATTTTGCATAAAAACAAAACATCGTGATCTTTAAAAATTTGCTGAATCTGTTTTTATCAAATTTAAGTCCTCTTTAATGTGAATAAACAATATTCTGTATTTTTGGGAATAGATAGTTAATATAATAATCTCAGTTATTCTAAAATTTCTTCAAATTATATTTTTTGTTTATATTATTTATATTGTTGTATTTTTGTTTATTTTTTCCATTTTTGTATCACCTTTTATCCTGAATCTACATTTGTAAACCCCCTTGTTTTTATATTTTATTAACTTCCCTTAAGGAAAGTTATTTCTAGTTTATTATTATTTTTTTATTAAAACAATGTCTTTACTAAAATTGTGTATAGTGTTTTTTTTTTGCTTTTGTATGAATTGATATTTCTATTTATCTTACCTTCTAGAAATTTTGTAATTTTTGAAACTTTGCAAAATACTTTTAAAGAATTAGTAAAACCTGCTGAACGATGACACACATAAAGTATCAAATAAATAGTATGATGTGATAATTATAAAATAAATAAAGAAATGCAGTGAACATTCATAAGGTTGAGTTACTTAAAACTTCCAACAAAATATCGGAATAAATCGTAAATTATAAAAATGATAACAATATTTTCTCAATGGAATAAGTGAATAATAATTTAACTTACTAATTTCTTTATTATTTTTAGTTAAACTAAAGACTTGGACATTATTATAAAGACAGGATTTGAGTCCATCACCTATCAATTAAAATTTCAGTCGTAAACAATTATTCCTTTTGAATTTGAATTCAAATAGTTGACAGTTTGCACTTCCCGTCAGACATTCCCATCTATACAAAGCATTTTGGTCTCTATGGTCTGTATCGCACTTCATGTGCATAAATTTACGAACAGAAGAACTTTTGACACCTACAACTAACTGTCATAATTTTACTGCAATAATTTAGCGATATTAATGATACAATATTATAGTTTTAAGGTAAGAACCTACTCCAAAACCCTCCAAAAACCCTTCTTTATCTACATCATATAAAAAAAATCCATACCATACCTAAAAATAATTTTATTCCCATTCCCCACGCGATGTTTATTTATATGGTCTTATTTGGTGCATTATTTTGTGTCAAGGTAAATTACAACAAATAAAATCTTTGTTGCAGAAATATGAGCTCCTCCTCGAAGAGATCATGGAAGCTACGTGAGTAGATAAAAATAACCTAGATAATAAAATATTATTATATATATTCATGTGTCTTATCTCTTGTTTTTAGAAGATTTTGTTGCACACCAATCCAATGTAAATTGTGCTGCTTTAGGCCATCAGACTGGCCGAGTAATGGTCACTGGTGGCAAAGATAGCAAAGTTAACCTGTGGGCCCTTGGGAAGGACACGTGTATTATGGTAATAATAAATCGACAATCATTGTTGTTTATGTTCAAATTTAAATGGTATTAAAAGTTTTATATAATGAGGAAGACACTGTTTGGTAGTGACAGAAGTCATAACAGATAAACTATACTGGTTTTGATATATAGTCCAAAGGTAGAAAGATGTAGTATGTTTGTTTAAACAAGTTTACATAATTGCTTTCAGTCAAATCTGTTTTGTTTTTGTGATAAGTTGAGCGTTAGTATATATATCTTATATATAAAAATGGAGCTCTTTTTCAAATGTCCAAGTAAAACTCGAAAACGGCTAAACCGATTTGGCCAGTCTTAGTCTTGAAAAATTTGTGCCAATCCAGAGAAGGTCGGAATGTGAGATAATATTTCAAAATTGCGTAGAAACTTCACATTTTTAATTTGAATTTTTTTGTAGAAGCGTAATTTAAATGAAACAATGGACGGTGGCTAATACGTGAAATGTCAAACGTTTTTGACAGATGATGTTCAATTACATTTAATAGGATGTTTTACGCGAATATTATTTATTTATGATAAATTTGTAGTAAGTAGTTTTGTTTGTAGTTTTATTTATACATAAAAACGTTAGTAAACGGGCCGCAAGTATTACTAGAGACTCAAAATATCAACTTTTTTGAAATGTTAATATAAAAATGCACTTTTTGGTATATTTTTCTCAATCACGATGCTCTGAAAGATCTCATTTGTATAATTATATACTTATTGGTATTTATAAAACATTTTCTAGGTTATATTATTTTTTATTTATATTATTTAAATTCAGAACTTAAATTTGGTATCGATCAAATGGACATTTTGTCAAATAACATTTTCCCAGTTATAATTTCCCAGAATTTATCGAAGAATAGATAGTAATAAATGAAGGTTAAAAAGGTCCATCACCGATGTGTCAAAAACCAGTAAAGTTAAGCATTGTTTAACAAAAATATTTGAAAGTAGGGGGAAAAAGATGTATAACCAGCTATAACCTTGATTCTTCTTATAAATCCATAATAAAAGTATTTTCTTCCGTTGGTAGTTTTTTAGCATTAGTTAAAAATGTAATTATTTTGTAAAATACCTTAAAAATTAAAATAAGACATTAAACCTGTTTGCCACCTGGCCGTTCCAAGTTACCCTGTCTATGGGGTAAAAAGGTCTAGACAACAATTTTTTTTAAAGACAGCATAAAAAGCACATTTCTACAATGATGAAGTAGCTGGATTTAGATAATTAGATAATTGTTTGTTTGAAATGTGTTATTTGTTGTGATATAATTTGTTTGATTTTTATAATATAATTAAGATTTGCTCAAAGTCAAATTGGACCTTTGTGCCTCGTCCTGCTCTACATATATACTTTTTTATTAAATTTACTTTAATTCATCGAATGTTACTTGAAACTTTTCAAAAAGCGGGTCAAAGAAGAACTACTTAATTCATTTTCTATCACTCCAGAAATTTGAATTTTTTTTATAAGCTCAGTAGTATTATTTACAATTATACACAAAATCCAGAATCCAAAAAGAATCTGAAAAACTTGAAACGTAATCAATAAGTCGAAAGTCCAAAAAACGACTTGGATTGGATTATACCATGTTTTCTATAGAAAGTGTATAAATCTTCCAGTTTGATTGTATTGACAAAATATAGACAAAATAATGGGGTTTATTGTTTTATAATACCTAATTGTATACAGCATTCAAACAACACATCCTCATACCCTTGAAGTATTAATATTTTTGATTCTCTAGAAATTTTTTAGAATATACCTTGCTTAGCAAAACAACGTTTGCCGGGTCAGCTAGTAATATGTATATATTTTTACTTTTTTAAGAGTTTAAGTGGCCACGCCACAGAAGTAAAGAGTGTCCAATTCGGTAACACAGATGAAATAGTATGTGCTGGATCTTTAGGAGGAATCATCAAAGTATGGGACCTAAATGCAGCAAAATTAGTCAGAAATATGACTACCCAAAAAGGTGCAGTCACTTGCACGGATTTCCATCCGTATGGAGATCTTTTAATATCGGGTCAATCTGACTGGTAAGTTGTAATTGGAATAATTAAATTTATTAATTGAATATTTGATTTGTTTTTAATTAAACTTTGTGATTGTTTGTATTGCAGGACAGTGAAGTTGTGGGATTTTAGGAAAAAAGGTTGCATATGTGTATATAGAGGACATACGAGACCTATTAATAGTATTAGATTTAGTCCTGATGGAAATTGGATTGCCTCAGCTGGTGATGATGGTGAGTACATCATTATTTAAATTTATATATATTATATATTATATATATATATATATATATATATATATTGTGATAAGGTTTTTCAGCCACAAGTTGATAAAATAAAAACAGAAAGTAAATATAAAATCTTCTTTAATACGTTTCGAGCTATTGTAATAGCTCATCATTCAGCAAACCAGTTTAAATTTATTTTATATAAAATTTGACAATTATAACATAAATATTTTGTTCTAAAAACCAAAAAACAAAAATATGTATGTATATAGAATTTTTAAAAATAAAATCAAGTGATCAAAATATTTTGAATTGTGAAAAGAAGAAGAAAAGAAAATATCAAGTGGTAAAAAATTGTTCAAATATTAAAAAAATCAGACTTACATACATTAATTGAATTTTGATAACTGTTGAAAAGCAAAGAACAAGAACTTCTCTTATTTACACATTGTGAATTTAAAAAAATGAAAACAGATTCAGCAAACTTTCTTAGGTCAATATTTTGTTCAATATATAAAATAATGGGATTGTTTATATCAAAAGTGTGTTTATAATTTTGCATATGTTCAGATAACATTGTTTTGTATTGATTTTTAATTTTTGAATTATATTTATGTTGAAGCAACTCTTAGATATATATTGTGAACTCTCTCTAATATAGAATTTTTCACAATCATTACAATTCACTTTGTAAACGGAGTCAACAATTCTATCATGTGGTGTTTTTGATTTTAAAGAAGTATACAAAGAATTTAAAATATTTTCAAATTTGGAATCAAAAGAAAACCTTCTTCAGAAATTATCTTTTTTAAAAAATAAGTAAAACTGCCTAAAAATGGCAAAGAAATAATACCTTTATATTTATTTAGAAAAGATGAAGAATTTATTAAACTTGTATCAACAAGTAGCAAAAGATTATTATTATTAATGTTAATTTTATTATTATTTAAATATTCAATATGGTTTTATAATATTATTAACTAATTTTAATGGATATGAGTTGTCTACAAGAATTTCGCGAATTGAATCTAAATTTTTATTCCAAAATTTGTAAGAATAGCTCTATCAATTAATGAAATAATAATAGAAATTTTGATCGAACGGGAATGAAAGGAAAAATAATTAATGTAACACCTGGACCAAGTTGGCTTTTGATACCAGTTTGTATAAATTTTGTTATTATTATATCTAATAATTTTAATATCTAAAAAGCTAATAGAATTGCCAACCTCTTGTTCACAAGTGAACTGCAAAGGTTTATTGAAAGAGTTAAAACAATTCAAAGTATGGTTGATATAGTTATTATCTAAACATAAAAGAATGTCATCAAGACAAATGTCATAAAACAGATTTTTCTAGAAGTTGTAAAGTCAAATCAGCCAAAGGGGGACTAATACTAGAGCCCATTGGCATTAAATTAACTATCTTCAGTTATGCTGATTGGATCAGTATTACTTTTATTTTATTTTACTTGTATTGAAGTCAGCTTTAGAATAATTACTGCAATAATTAAAAAAAAAATAGTTTTTGCAATTTTCTTAACAATAACGACCACTTAATATTCACTAATTATAAGGTTTTTCCTACCCTTTACTCAACTTGAATCGATTGAAAAAAAAGTGTTTTTGTTTTTTTTTCTGCTACAAAATTCTTTTTACAATATGTTGGAGAAAAATATTATTTTCGAGCACGAATTGCCCTTTAAACTTTTACAAATATTTATGAAAGATCAGTTTATTGTATCATTAACACAAACTATTAACATAGTAAGTAAACGTCGTATTATTTTCAAGAAAAATATTATCTAACTCAAAGTAGATTATGTAATAGTTTGCATTGTAATTCAAATTATGTGAGTCCCTCTTTCTTCACATTTTATTGAATTTTGTGGTAGATTTATTTAAGAAAAAATGAGATTAAAACAGTTTCATTAAATTATCAATGTTTTAATTACATGATTTACAGTTACATGATTTTGCAGAATATTGATTGCTTTTTAAAATATAGATAATATTAAATGAATTAATTAAATTAAATGAATCACCGTTAATTTTAATACCACCTTGGTCGAAGAACAATAACATTGGCATAATTTCAAAAATTTAAAACCTCCTAAAAATTATAAACCGTACTCCATTCATTTTGTGAAATATCACCTAAATTTTCCACCACAACTTTTTTTTTCTAAAGAACCTTAAATTTAGATCTTCAAGCTTTGATTCATGTTTGAATCAATAATTCAACCAAAGTTATAATCCTCAAATTCGTTTTATGATAATATTTGATATGTATATTAATATGCAATTTTTTAATAATTTTTTCAGCTCGGCGAAGAATCTTGTAATTTTAAGTAATACATATTCAAAATCATTTTAACTTTCACATATTAAAAGGACAACATATATATTTTATAACCCTAAATAGTTAAACGCCTTTAATATTTTTTTCTATTTTTAGGGTCATTTTTTTTAAATTTTATTTTTTTATAATTAGTAACTGAAGAACGCATGCAACCCCAAATTTTTACCCTTCTATCTCAAACCCCATAAACTAAGAAATATACAGTAAAAAACTTTTGCTTCTCAATTTCTTATATTTTTCTACATTTTTTTCTTTTTTAAGAAAAAGGTACCTATAGGATAAGGTCAATTCCTTTATACGTTTTTTTATTCTGTAATCATCATCATCATATTATTGTAATTTCGAGTGCAGAAAATACAAATCGAGTTTTTGAAAAAACGGAGTATCGGATTTGAATGATCTAAAAAACATTCAATTATTAATGATTGGGAGAAGTGGTTATTGAATTTTGGCAAAGGCAGGCCCAGCCATTTCGAAGATAAAGAGCTAAATGTGCAAAAACTGGCAGTTTTTGAGTGAATTAAGCGTCCGATTTGAATGATGTAAAAAACTTTCTGCTTGTATTGACAAAACAATTGCTTTTGAGGATAAACAAATATTACATTTTTTTTATTTTCCATAAAATATTTTTGTAATTTTGGATTAAAACGTCAAAAACTTACCCAGGCTAAGCACAGTCTAAGCGCCACTCTGGTACAAATGCGTTACCCAAGTGCGTTTAGACTGTTTATGTACTGGAGCACTATTCCAATTTTGTGAAAATTATTGAAAAATGTGAAAATGCCGCCAAGCTAAGCACAGTATAAGTGAAAATGTCGCACAGAATTGTTTGCAAATGCGTTTAGACTGTGACTATATGGGAGCACTTTTTCAATTTTGTGTAAATTAGGCAACTATTTTTTTTAAAAAATTGAATTAGAAATGAAATGACTATTGTTAATGTTCTCGAGATAAATTTATTTATGATTTACATTTGATATAACGAAAGATAGCAAATTTACATCAGATATAACAAAAGATAGCAAAAATAATAAAAGTTACACAGTATTTGTAATAATATATTTGAAAACGTTTAAAATTTCTCGAATATTTCATTACAGTACGGGAAGTTCCAGCAATTTACCTTAAGGCACGATGTCATACACCACTAGTTTTATTTATTGCAGCTTGCATTATTTAAGCAAATTGTTAACATACGCATTAATAAAAATATATAAAACCACAATTGTCCCTTATTGATATATATATTACTAAAATTTAAAATTTGAAACAAATCGTATTGCTACTAAAAATAAAAAAACGTGCAAAAATAAGACAAATATAAAAACTATTAACCAATCAATATAAAACATTTTTTTTTCGGCATTTTTCCTGATTTTTGTTCACGTATTGTGATTTTTTCCAATTTTTCCAATTTTTCCTATTTTTCTGCCAGTTTCCTTAATTGGCACTTTTTTTTTAAGAAGTAATATACTACAGACGAATTATGATTTTTTTTTGTTATAACTAACAAATAAGTTTCAAAATATCGCAGATACAAAAATTTTAAAAAAATCTTTTTTTCAAAAATTTCAAAATGTCTCAAAAATCTAATTTTTTCAAAGATTTGCAAAGTTTTTTTTAATAATTAAGTTTTCGGTACGGAAAGTCTTAGTAATTTGCCTTAAGGCACGATGCCATGCGCCACTAGTTATTAAAATTTGCCGGACCAGCTAGTATATATATATATATATATATATATATATATTTCTATTATCTTTTTCAGGTTTAATTCGATTAATAGACATCAGAACAGGAAAGCTCCTGAAACAATTCTCGGAACACATCTTCCCGGTGACTTCGATACGATTTCATCCCAGTGAATATCTTTTGTGCAGCGGCGGAACTGACGGTGTCTTAAATTTTTACGATTTAGAAAAATTAACAGTTGTCTGTAAAACGGACAATAACGTAGGCAATATATCGACGATGGCCTTTAGTAAAAACGGTGAATGTTTGTATGTGGCCACCGACGATTATTTGAAAGTCTACGCCTGGGAACCTGCTCGATTGCTGGACAGGGAGAGGATCAAATGGGGCTGTGTTAATGATTTAGCTTTGACTGATAACCAGATGGTAAGATAATTGACTTATATGTGTATATATATATATATATATATATATATTTCTTTGCTCCCAAGGGCTCAAATGGTTCCAAATAGATAAAAAAACAATTCTCTGAAAGTTTTAGCTCTTAATTAACGTTTAGATAGTGCGAAATTCAATCACAAACTTCGTATGGAAAGAGCATGAAATTTTTTTGAAAATTTAAAAAAAATGTTTTAAGTATAACTTAGCGACAAATGAATGAATAAAACTCATTCATTTGTCGCTAACTTATACCTGAAACATTTTTTTAAAATTTTCATTTTTTTTAAATTTAATATATATATACGAGGTGTGTTCAAAAAGTACCCGGAATTACTAATAATTAAATTTCGCGGGTCTGGAGTGTCTGATTGTCAAAATTTTTTTTTTATTGTGTTGGTATACATGCCCCTAAAGTATGATGAAATTTTCAGCTATATTCACTGTTTACTTTGTCTGTGGTAGTCGCTAAGGTTCGACGTGTTTTTCTGAGCTCGGCGATTTTTACAATGGAAGAATTGAAAAGTCAAAGAATTTGTATTAAATTTTGCGTAAAAAATGAAATAAAGTGTTGCAAAGTGCAAAAATTCACCAGATATGGCTCCGTGTGACTTTTTCCTATTCCCAAAGTTGAAGAGACCCATGAAAGGACGGCGGTTTTCCTCGATTGAAGAAATAAAGGCCGAATCGCCGAGAGTGCTCAAGGACATATCAAAAAGTGAATATCAAGGGTGCTTCGAAAATTGGAAAAAACGCTGGCATAAGTGTATTATATCTGGGGGGGACTACTTTGAAGGGGACCACATTAATGTAGACGAATAAATAAATATTTTTTTGAAAAAAACGAAAATTCCGGGTACTTTTTGAACAGACCTCGTATATATATATATATATATATATATATATATACTAGCTAACCCGGCAAACGTTGTTTTGCCATAAAAAATATGCCTAAATTGATAAAAAATTAATAAAAGTGCCAAAATCAAATATTTAATAGATTTGGACTCTTTGACAAATAGTTAAAAACTTGTTATAATTTTCAAAATTATTTGACATCTCATACTTCAAAAATTAATTCACTCGCATCATAGTTTTTTGTTTATTATACTTTTGTCATAAAATTTTACTTCAAATATTATTTATTTGTTAATAAATTAATAATTATTTTAAATCATCAATGAATAATTATATAATCGTTAAATTCATAAGTTTGGCTAAATCAACACTGGAATATTGTGGAAATAAATATTTTTTTACATAAAGATCTGATTTTTGACATTTGCATTTTATTTTAAATTAATTATAACTCTCAAAATATTTTCTGTTCGGTCAAAATTTAATATAATGTGATATAATATTTAATTTGTCTATTTTGTTTTTGTCAGATTCCAATGATACCCTCAGATTGTACTATTTATTCCATTTAAGAGATTACAATTTCCTGTAAGATTAGCATTTGCGATGACAATCAAAATATATCTTAACTGATATATTAATAATAATATTATATTTTAATTACACAAATTTCTTTACACTCCGATAAATAATTCCAACGCATCATAGTGTTTTGTTTATTTTAATTTTGTTTATGTCAATTTTTTTTTAAATTAAAGAATAAATTGAATTTTAGTCTAAATCAACGCAGTAAATTTATCTAAATATACAATTTTTTATATAAATATTTGTTTTTATACATTTGCATTTAATTGAAAAATAGTGAATGTCAATTTTATATATCCAATATGCACTAAATTTATAAATGTCAAAATATTTCTTTTTTGGTTCAAAATTAATTTAATATGATAATATTTATTTTACAATAATATTTTGTATCTATAATTTTCTTGGCAATATTGCCTATAACATAACTTGGAATAATTAATTTATTTGCTTCTTATTGAAGTAAAACGTTAAACATTTTTTTGTGAAATGTCAAAATTTTGTTTGATTAGTTTTAAATTCAATATGCCGCTTTTTTATTGTGACCTCTGATCTATAATGTTTTGATGAAGTTTTGGTTTCCGAAATAATTTGGTAAGCTAATCAATTAAATCTAAATCGTAAATCTATTTATATAATTAATTTTTATAAATACTGACAAATCACATTTAATTTTTTTACATGTCAACATTTATTCAAATTTTTAAGCATTGATTTTTAATTAGATTTAAAACTATAAACAGTGATTTTGAATATAGCATTTCATCAAATTTGGATATAAATGTTGGATATTTCTATATATGTACATGTTTTTGAATTTTGTTTTGAAATGCCAATTTTTTTTTTCAAAAATTATATATCGAAATTTCCTTAAATTTTGACATTTGTCATTTTAGTGTTTTGTTTTTTTTGGTCATTTTCTGTCAAAATTTTTAGAAATTCATAAAAATTATATATTTATATTTCAAATTTACTGTTCAAAATTTCCTATAACCTAAGTTGGATATATATGCACACGATGGGCCAATAAAATTTAAAACCGGTACAGTAGTTTGGGCGAACATCGCGAACCAACATCGTGACACGAGATTTATATATATATATATATATATATATATATATATATATATATTTGTATTTTCTTTCTAGATTGCTGCATCTCATATGTCAGTCAACATCTCCGTGTATCTCCTGGATTTACAAAAATTGCCACCGGTAACAGGAATGGGTCACTATTCCTCGCCCCGGTTGAATAATACTCACAGTGTTAATAATGACAGTGGGTCGCCTGCTAGTCCTTTTGGGTATGGTCAGAGTGTTAGGAAAAGTTTTTCCAAAGACAGACCTCAGAGGTTGTCTTCGAGGCCTGTGAAAGTTATTAAGACTATTGAAGAAGCCGAGAAGTCCAGTACGGAGGAGGAGTATCCTAGTAATAATGAAATACCGGACACTTCGAATTATATGAATATTTTTCAACCGGCACGATCATGTAAGTAGAAAAGGAATTACATTGTGAGAACTGAACTAACTACATTAAAATAAAAAAAGAGTGCAATAAAAAACTTATTTGCTACTGTACAAGATGGCATTTAAGTAAAAATAAATACATCATATAACAATTTTGAATAATGTTTATTAGTGATATGGTAACACTCGTGATGCACACATTTATTAGTGTCAACAACCATTATACACATTTATATGATAATAAATCATAAATTATATATTTATAATAGCATTAAAAATATGTATAATATTTAAAACCAATAATGTAATTAAAGTCATACTTCTAATATGACATGATCGGTTTGTCATTGTAGTTAGCATTTAGGACTAAATAATTGCTGATTAATGAATTCTATAAAATTTGTTCACACAGTGGATAGCTGTAATATAACAATCTTGAATAATTTCATTAACACTTGCAATAAATAAATTGCATAGATGTCCATTATGAAGTATATATGTATATAAATGTTTTCTCGTTTTCTAATCGTCGAGACCTTTTAAACGATACCCCACATGCCATAAAAGATACAATCGAAAAATTTTGAAGTAAAACTTCTTTAGGCACCTCGGCTACAAATTCGTAACAAGTGTTGGTTTTAGTATTTGCTGAAGTTTTACGCATCAATTATTAAAAAAATATTATTAAAAAAATATATATATTTTAACATTCTAATATTTTTTGCAATAAAATATAACGTTTTTATCACAATATAATAATTTTTTTGTGAAAATCGTTTTCCACTCGTCGAGGCCTTTCAAACGATACCCTACATGCCATACAAGATACAATCAAAAAAAAAAATTGAAGTAAAACTTCTTTAGACATCTTAGTTACAATTTCGTAACAAGTTGTTGATTTTAGTAAGTGCTACAAAAGATATACATTACGGTTATTAAAAAAAATCAAATGATACTACAAACTGTTGTTGTGCTCGGTTTCTTGTTTAGAGTAATAAATCTGAATATCAAATCATTCTTCATTATTAACAGAAATATGCTACTTTATAATACTTTAGGATCAGTAAAACAAAATTGCAAGCTTTGATTGTGAAATATCATTAAATTACTGATTTCTTCTTATCGTGTAAATTCTCCCATTTTTTGTCCTAATTTTCAGAAATAATAATTAATCCATTACTTCATGTAATTAAAATTAACATACATTCATTGACTGCTTGTATTTTTTTTACTTTTTGCTGGTGATATAATCTCATTCTTTGAACAGCTGTAATATCTGTTTTGCCTAAAAAATATTTTTCATTTTAATAATTTCAAAGATTTATAGAAACTACAAATAATTTAGAAATAATTTCTAATCAATAAACTTATGTTTAGTATACGGCACAAATATTTAATTTGTTTTATCATTCTCAAGGAACAGGGTAAAATATTCTTCTGATTCAAGCATTTTGCATTAAATCAAGATTTGTACTACGATGTAACTTTAAAATGTTTATTTTTCTATGCCTGTACGCATGCAACGACAGATCTCTATTCACATACACGACGTCTAATCACAATCGACCCGTATATAAATGATATCATCGAGAGCGAATGACGTACAGTTCCGTTGCATTTGTACGGATTTACACCCTAGTCGCGCTTAAAGAAGTTTTACTTCAATAACACATATCAAAAACAACTATCTTTCTAAAATTTGTCATCTGGTTCTTTTTACTCCATAATTGTGATAAAAAGGGACAGCGAGGAAGCAAAAAGGTTTACTGTTCTAGATTTAATTTTGATTTTTTGGTACTGCCCTATACTTTAAAAAAGCATCTTTGTAAGATACCTTACTTTACTTATTTTTGAAATAATTAAAAGTTTAACTAGTGGGGCGCATGGCATCGTGTCTTAAGGCAAATTGCTGGAACTTCCCGTACCAATTTTTTTTTTAAAGATTAACATCTTTGAAAAAAATTTACTCTGAAAAATTAGATTTTTGAGAAACTATAAATTTTTGACAAAAATTTACTTTTTTTCTGAAAAAAAGACTTTTTGAAAAAAAGTGTATTTTGAAATATTTTGGAAATTCTGAACTTTTTTCCAAAGCAATCGTACTGCTTTAACTGCATAGAGACAAAATGTAGAAGAGCGTAAGCGCCGCGTCGCCGTCTAACGGATGAACATTGGTACGGAACCCATAGGAAAGTGCACGAAATTTATACATATTGTTAAAACCTCTATAAAATATCTGATAATTTGATGTGCATATGTCTAATGATCATTTTTGACCGCCAAATGGCATTTTTTTTTTACTTTTTTCATTAGATCTCCGAAACCGCTAGACCTGCCTTTATGAAAATGTGATCAGTTCTTCATCTTGTCAATACAAGTAAAATGTTTTTTGAATTATTAAAATCGGACACTCCGTTCTCTTAAAAACTGAGTTACCGTTTTTGGCAATTTTTTGCCCCGTATCTTCGGAACGGCTAGACCTGCCTTCGCCAAAAACTAATCAGCACGTCTCCTTATCAATACGAATCGAATGCTTTTTGAATTATTCAAATCGGTTGATCGGTGTTCCCGAAATCGTCGACGAAAATTTGTATCCGAACACACATACACACACGCACATACACACACGCTCACACATACATCCATTTTTTCTAAGGTATGCCAGAATGTTCAGAAACCTTCAAAACGTATAGATATATAAAAATTTTCATTTCCGATTTTTTTGCGATTACTATAACTTGCCCTACGGGAAGTTCAAAATTCCTGTGCATGAATATATTCTTTCTTTACAGTGAATCGAACACCGCCACCAGAACCAGAACCAGAAGACTTAGGTAACGAGAATTAACTTTCTTTTACACAATTTAAATAATACAATACATTTTTTAATCAATTTCTTTTTATTTTTCAGATACAACCTTGACAGAAAATTTAAATTCATCTCACCTAAGTCGGACTTTCACAATATCGGATAGCCCTTCACCGGAGTATGAACCTTCTCGTATGTCTCCACCGGAACGTCCGGAACCTGTTCCAATGCCCACACCTACATCGGTGCCTTCAGTCAAAAGTAAACATATTAATTTCAATAGACAGTTGTCTTATGAGGCCCCGAGGCAGAGGACGTACTCTAATAGCTCACCAGGTAAAAATAATAATAGATAATTGTATATATAAGGTTGTCAAATATCTCCCTTCCGCCTTTTTGTATTATAAACCAAGAGCAAAAAAGCGGAAGGGAGATATTTGACAACCTAATATATATATATATATATATATATATATATATTTATATATGTGTATAAAACTATCTTAGCAAATGGATTTTCTCTCACACTCATCAACCCTATTACTAAGGTGAACATATTTTTTTAAGTCAAAACCGGGACGGCATTTTTTCGTTATGCTAATCCGGGACGAGAATAGCGGACTTTTAGTAAGAGCTTTATTATTCGATTATGTATTACTCTTTTTATATATGTATTTCATGTTTTTTCGCTTTTGAGTCTGGTATAAAATGTTACACAATTTTCTTCATAATTAATTTGAAAAAAAAGGCGTTTGTTCATTTTTATTCATAACTAGATGACCCGACACATGTTGTCCTGTACCCACGTCTACAATTTTTAATATCCTATACTAATATTCACCGTTTACCTAAGAATAATAATTATTGTTTTTTAAATTACTCTTCACACCAAAATGCATATACAATTTACAATATGAGCGATGTTAAATGTAGAACTGCTTTAAATAAAATGATTAGTCTCAATTCTCACACTACATTGAAAATTGAAGTCTTTTAAACAGTATAAAAAATTCAGAAAAAAACAATACATAGTAGGTATCCGCGGTAAAAGTACTAATATTACCTTCGATTTTTTCACTCAAAATAATTACTCCGATAATATTGCCTCCGATAATTTTTATAATCTCGTACCATATCTTAACTGGTTTTTAGTAATTATGATATCTAAATTACATTTTTCTTAATATTAATTTAATATACATTATTATGAGGGTCACTCTTGAGGTCCTCAGCGCCCGCATGCCATTTTTTTCTAGTAATAAGCTCCCTTTATTTTACCTGTTTCAACAGTTTATTATTAAAATTATTATCATTAATTAATATTTGCTTTTGGAACATTTTACTTATTTATTGTGGTCGTTTTATGCGATTTATTCTATTGAGCAAGACATAAAGAGCAAAAAAAATTATAGCATTTTATTAATAAACATAACACTGGTACTTCATGTTGTATTATTTTAATTTATGTTTATTATTTAAGATATCCAAAATTGCATCTTAAACTTTTCCCAATTGATATCGTAAAGGCCGAATTGTATTTATTCATCTTTACTTTCCCATTTGTTGTTATAAAGTGAAATTTTTACGAATTTTAAAAATATTTTGCAAAGATTTGTAAAAGATGCAAAGAAATTATATTGAAAAAAAAAACTATATTGAAAATTTCATATCTGTATCTTGTGTTGGCGCCCCCTAAGACGTGCTCTTGTATTTTTCGCATGCATCGCATTAAAAGTAGGACCGGCCCCGATTAATACTTAATTTTACATTTTAAGTGAATTAATTTGTCAAATCCTGTTCGTATGTCTATCAATCAATCTGCCATACATATACTGTATCTTATATTATTTTAATCTTCTGGCACATCTCAGCTGCTTTCTGGCAATAATAATGTAGACATTTTATTTTTCTTATTCATAATCATAAATTTATTATACATATTCTAATATTGTCTAGACTCGTAAGTGAATTGAAATTTCTGGCAGGTGACAGTTTTCATTTATTTTCAATGTCAAACAATTACATGTCGTTTTTTTGCATGTTTTTCCTTTTATTTCTACAATATTACTATAATTTAACTCACATCCTAAAAAGTTGTATGTCTATTAATCAATCTGCCATATACTGTATCTTATATTATTTTAATTTCTGGCACATTTCAGCTGCTTTTTGGCAATAATAATGTGGACATTCCATATTTCTTATTCATAATCATGAATTTATTATACATATTCTAATATTGTCTAGGCTAATAAGTAATATTTTCATTTGTCAAAATATTTTTAATGTCAAACAATGATTTGTCGTTTTTTGCAATTTTTTCCATTTATTGCTACAAAATTACTATATTTTTATAATCACATACTTTCTAAAAAAAAAACCTTAACAAACTTCAGAAAGATTTATCAAAATCCGAATAATCGTTTAGGAGAAGTATATTTACATACATCATTACAGAAGAATTTTATATATAATTCTTCTTTCCTCAAAATATTTTGTTTTGTTCCAGCGGACTGGTACCCGGCTACACAATTAGAAAACACATTAAACAGTAAGTTATAAATATATAAATATTTAATTTCATATACAAATTCTTTCTATAAAACATTTCTTGCACTTAGAATAATTTTAATCAATTTTTCTTTAATAGGTTCAAGGTTTTCGTCTCCAGATTTGATACCTCAGCATCAGCCTGCTCCAAATAAAGTTGCCCCAGTTACAACCCCTAAACAAAATTATAAATATACCGATGATACGCCTGTTTCACTCAAGAGTAAACATGCAAATTCGGTGGCTGCTGAAAGGAGCCCTTATAAGGTAAATAAAAAATGTAACTAGTGGTGTATGGCAACGTGCCTTAAGGCAAATTGCTGTAACTTACCGTACCGTAACGAAATGTTCGAGGAATATCAAATGGTTTCAAATAGATTATTATAAATACTGTAACATTGCCTAATATTTTTAAGAAAAAACTGTCATTTTTTGCACATTTAGCTCCGTATTTCCGAAACGGCTGGACCCGCCTTTGCCAAAAACTAATCACCACTTCTCCCAATTATTACAAATTGAATGTTTTTTAGATCATTCAAATCGGATGCTCCGTTCTCTCAAAAACTCGATTTCTATTTTCTACACTCTTTGTTCCGTATCTCCGTAACGGCTGGACCTGCCTTTGCCAAAAACTAATCAGCACATCTCCCTATCAATAGGAGTCGAATGTTTTTTGAACCATTCAAATCGGTTTATCCGTGCGCCCGAAAATGGAACACTAAACGAAGTCGTTTTGCCGAATCCTGTTTTATTACTATTGATAAAAACAGCATTAACAAAAGAAATGATGTCTTCGTACTCTGCGAATATTATGTAGTAGTAATAGACACGTTCGCGGTGTGAATGCTATAGCATTCACATTTTGAAGTCAAATATTTTGAATTTAATTTTATATAACCTTACGTTTTTGTAATCATTATACTTGTTAAGGTAATGACTAACTAATTCTTCTGGTATTTTGGTATTAGCATATCCTTTTCCGTAGTCATAAATTGGCTTGGCGTAAAATAGAAGCGTAATACTTGACGTGGATGCTATAGCATTTATCTCTTATATGAGGATTAAAATATTTTTTACCTTGGCCAAGCAAATTGCGTAAAATAGAGGAGTGATACTTGACGTGGATGGTATAACATTCATCTCTAAAATAAGGATTAAAATATATTTTACCACAGACAAGCAAATTGCTTAAAATAGAAGTGTAACACTTGTCGTGGATGCTATAGCATTCATATCTTGTATAACGATTAAAATATCTTTTACCAAATTGCGTAAAATAGTAGAGTAATACTTGACGTGGATGCTATAACATTCGTCTTTTATACAAGGATTAAAATGTTTTTTACCTTGGCCAAACAAATTGCGTACAATAAAAGTGTAATACTTGACGTGGATGCTATAGCATTCATCTCTTATATAAGGATTAAAATATCTTTTTATCTTGGGCGAGCAAATTGCGTGAAATAGAAGAGTAATACTTGACGTGGATGCTATAGCATTTTTCTTTTATATGAAGATTAAAATATGATAATCCAACTACCCTTGATAATCATATTTTGGATATCACGACCAATTTTAAAAATAAAACTAGTGGTGTATGGCATCGTGCCTTGAGGCAAATTGCTGGAATTTCTCGTAGAGAAAATTTAAAATCTTACAAAGCTTTAGATTTTTCTAAAGAAAAATTAGATTTTTGAAAAAAAAAGACTTTTTTGATATCAAGTTTAAACAAGAAGATATTTTTAGTTTTAAAAAAGTGTGTGTTTCGAAACTGTAAATATCGTATTTGGGTTTTGTCCAAAAAATCCATAAACCTTCCAGTTTATACATCTACTTTTGTACTTGTTTACCTGTGTAATTGTGTACCTTCTTACCTGTCTATTTTTCTACCTATTTACAACTAATTCGATTTGTATATATATTAATGACAATGATTTGTAAAGATCATATTTGACCAAGAAATTGGTTGATCCGTGCGCCCGAGATCGTTGACAGAATCCAAAATTGTATCCATACATCGATTTTTTCTAAGGTATGCTAAAATGTTCAGAAACCTATGAAACGAATATATATAAAAATTTTCATTTTCGATTTTTTGACGATTACAATAACTCACCCTAAGGGAAGTCAAAAATGGCAATTTTCGTATCTTGGTAAAACTTCTACTGTCCGCAAATTAACTTAGTCGTACCCGGTATAATCTCGAACATGTGACCCTAGCCAATAATTCTTTTACCCAATTTGCTGTTTCCACAACCAAATTTTTTTTCCAGGAAATGCAACGTGCTAAATCCAACCTAACCGAACAAAGAAGATCCAGAACGACTCCTGCACCACCAAAAAATATTCAAGCACCACCAAAAGTACAAAATGAACCTGAACTCATACCAACGACTACTCATAGGCCTGTAGGGATAGATATGGATGAATTCTTACCAGTAAGTGGAAATAAAAAAATATTTTATGACTAAAAATAGAATCTAGAGCAGTGTTTCCCAACGTGGGGCGCACGCCCAACCGGGGGGCAATTTGTAATTTCAGGGGAGCAATTTGAAAATTTTGGTGATTTTAATGCAATGTAGTATAGTATCGGTAAAACATTTAACAAAAAAAAAATGCTTCTTAAATTTAGAATAATAAGGTGTCCCGGTTTGGCCGCCACGATTTTAGTTTTCAACCTTGCTTTATTAGTGCCGGAGTTATGTTTTTTCTGCCGGAAATGATATTAATGATATTAATCTGAAAATGATATATGCAATGAACTTTATATAAATCTAACAAAAACATTATGAAAGAGAATGTTGCGGAATGCAACAATTCTTTTTTTTTTAAACTTCTATATTCCAATTTACGAAAATTACCAAAAAATAGGTAAATCAAGTTTCTGACTACTTGACATAAATGCTTTAAGGTCAGTGACAAGATTCGACTTGAAATATGCACAAGAAAAGTAATATTAGGTTGTCAAATATCTCCCTTCCGCTTTTTTGCTACTGGTTTATAATACAAAAAGGCGGAAGGGAGATATTTGACAACCTTATATTTAATACTAAAGTTAATTGCAAAGCTTCAAAAGCGGCACTAAGTGCGGCTTTTATTTACTCTTATTGTTAGTTTGCCTCAAATGATTCTTAGGTTTATTGAGGTTGAGGTAGTAATGTATAGTGAGAAATTTAGTAGAAAATACTTTTTTGATTGGTTATGTAGAGTGTTTGTTGAAAGATGGAATATCAAAACAAACATTTTAGTCAAATTTTGAATTTTTATTTCCGCAAATAATAAAACGATCATCTCAAAGAATAGGTGCTGTTTATGGTGTTAAAGCCTTAAAAAACAGCTATGTTAAAATCGGTTTTGAAAATGTCATTCTATTAATTTTCCACTCAATGCTGCTCTGATTGTCCAGTTAAAGTTTTGGACAAACTAATCAAAGTAATAATCGATTGGGGTAATAGAAACAATTTGGCTATGTTTAAAAATTATTGGGGGTTGGTGAAAAATTTTCGCCACATCCACCAAATGTTCCTGACCACAAACCATCTGATTTAAGACCCTTGAATTTGAAAAAAAAAATCATGATGGTGTCAAATTGTGTCTAATTTAGTTTTTGCTAATAAAAACTAGAAGTTTTATAAACTTGGGATAATGATGCTTCTTGGAAAATAACAAAAGGCCATCGATTGGTATACATAACAAAGTTATTTAATTCCACGCAAAAATTGTCTTTGATTTTCTAACTAAAATGCGCACTTACTTAGTTGCAACGATAACTATTAATTTCTAGAAAAATATGCGCACTTACTTAGTTGCCAATCTGATAACTAACAAAGATTTAACAAAAAAATATATAAAATTAAGATATAATTCCGCTCTGAGTTAAGAAAATTTTAAGTATATTCGTTAAGAAATTGCTTTATGAAGAAACTGAAATCAGATGCCCAAATGTAATCATATGTACAAAAATTTGCTATGAAAAAAAGAAAAAACTTAGTAAGCTAGAACCTGATATAAAATCTTTATTTTAGCTTAAGTATTGCATTAAATAAATTTCGAAAATAACAGTAATAAAATTAGTTTGAAATTTCCGTATGTTGGCTTATTCCGAAATTTTACATATGATGTTTAATAACAATTTAATATCGATTTCATCTTAAAAGTTATCATTCACATTTTTTCAGGAACAAAAAAAATGTATGGGGGGGCATAACGTTTTTATAAACCTCAAGGTTGGGCGGGGCCCAAAAAAGGTTGGGAATCACTGATCTAGAGTATCTTTTCTTTTTTTTTTTTTAAGAAATCTCTCTCCAAATTTGATGACATGTCAGAGCAAGAAGTTCTAAACATGATAATGAGCGGTCACGAAAAGATGATGGCAGTTTTGCAAACCCGAGAAAGAAATTTGGATATGATCTATGAACTGTGGAGGAGTAAAGACCTAAAATCAGCGATGGAGTATTTATTCTCTCTCAGGGATAATCTGGCACTGTTGGTGGATCTTTTATCTGTTTTTAATGATAAACCGTAAGTTAAATGAATGATAAATGATGTCTACATTAGAATTTATTTGATTAATTATTTTGTATATTTTTTTAGAACGATGTGGGACTTGGAAATGTGCGGACTTCTCTTGCCAAAAGTTCATGAGTTGCTGCAGAGCAAATATGAAACGTGAGTAGAATATTTTGTTTGAGTTAGATATGATCTGTAAGGGTTTCGGTTCATTTGCAACATTTTTAAAAGACTTGAGATATTTTTAGGCGGCTTGAGATATTTTTGAAGACTTGAGACATTTTTAGAAGACTTGAGAAATTTTTTGAAGGCTTGAGACATTTTTAGAAGGCTTGAGAAATTTTTAGATGGCTTGCAACATTTTAAAACGATTAGTAACGTTTTCAGGCGACTTGTAACGTTTTAAAACGATTTGCAATATTTTCGGACGATTAGTAACCTTTCTGAGACCTTTTGCTACATTTTCAAACGACTTGCAACTTCTTCAGACGACTTGTAACATTTTCAATTTTTTTAGTAACATTTTTAGATAACTTGGTACATTTTCAGGCGGCTTGCGACATTTTTAAGCAACTTTCGAGATTCTCAGACGATTTATTTACGAGATTCTCAAACGATTTGCAACATTTTCAGACGACTTTGTGTCCTTTTGAAATATTTTCAGGCGATTTGCAACATTTTCAGGCAATCAATGACATTTGCAGATGATTAATGGCATTTTTAGATGACTTACAACATTTTCAGACGGCTTGTAACATTTTCAGATGATTAGTAAGATATATAGGAGACTTGCAACATATTTAGACAACTAATAACATTCTCAGACAAATAATAAAATTTTCAGTTGACTTGTAAGATTTTCAAATTTTCAGACGTTTTGATTTTTAAATAATTTGCAATATTTTTAGATGGCTTTTAACACTTTTAGACGACATGCTACATTTTTAGACGCCTTGCAACATTTTCTAGACGACTTGCTGTATTTTCTAGACGACTTGCTACATTTTTAAGGCGACTTGCTACATTTTTTAGGCGACTTGCTAGATTTTCTAGACGACTTGCTTGATTTTCTAGACGACTTGCTAGATTTTCAGACACCTTAGTAACATTTTTAGACGATATAGTATGTTATTAGATGATTACTAACCTTTTCAGACAACTTGCTCGATTTTTAGATTACTTGCTACATTTTCTAGACGACTTCCCAGATTTTTTAGACGACTTCCCACATTTTTAGATGACTTCCCAGATTTTTTAGACTTACTACATTTCCTAGATGACTTGCAACATTTTATAGATGTCTTGCTACATTTTTTGGACGACTTGCTAGATTTTCAGACGATTTGCAACACTTTTAGACGACTTGCAACACTTTTAGACGACTTGCAATACTTTTAGACGACTTGCAACACTTTCAGACGACTTGCAATACTTTTAGACGACTTGCAACACTTTTAGACGACTTGCAACACTTTTAGACGACTTGCAATACTTTTAGACGACTTGCAACACTTTCAGACGACTTGCAATACTTTTAGACGACTTGCAACACTTTTAGACGACTTGCAACACTTTTAGACGACTTGCAACACTTTTAGACGACTTGCAACACTTTTAGACGACTTGCTAGATTTTCTAGACGATTTGCAATATTTTTTGGACGCCTTGCAATATTTTCTAGACGCCTTGCAATATTTTTAGACGTATTGCAATATTTTTTAATAGACTTGCAACACTTTTAGACGGCTTGCAACACTTTTAGACGATTTGCAACACTTTTAGACGGCTTGCAACACTTTTAGACGGCTTGCAATACTTTTAGACGGCTTGCAACACTTTTAGACGGCTTGCAACACTTTTAGACGGCTTGCAACACTTTTAGACGGCTTGCAACACTTTTAGACGGCTTGCAACACTTTTAGACGGCTTGCAACACTTTTAGACGGCTTGCAACACTTTTAGACGATTTGTCACATTTTTCGATGACTTGTCACATTTTTCGACGACTTGCTAGATTTTTTAGACGACTTGCTAGATTTTTTAGACGTCTTTCCAGATTTTTCGGACGTCTTTCCAGATTTTTCGGCGACTTGCAAAACATTTTCAGACCTTTTGCAACATTTTCAAAGGACTTGCTAGATTTTCAAAGCACTTGCTAGATTTTCTAGACGACTTACAAAATTTTCAGGCAAATAGTAACATTTTCAAGCGACTTGATAAATTTTTTGACAACTTGATAGATTTTTGGAAAATATCTGACAACGTTTTCAGACAATTTCTGGCGACATTTTCAGGCAATTTCTGGTGACAATTTCAGACTTGCAGAATATTTTCAGATCTTTTGCAACATTTTTAGAGCATTTGGTAGATTTTCAAAGGACTTGAGAGATTTTCAAAGGACTTGGTAGATTTGCAAAGGACTTGGTAGATTTTCAAAGGACTTGGTAGATTTGCAAAGGACTTGGTAGACTTTCAAAGGACTTGGTAGACTTTCAAAGGACTTGAGAGATTTTCAAAGGACTTGAGAGATTTTCAAAGGACTTGAGAGATTTTCAAAGGACTTGAGAGATTTTCAAAGGACTTGGTAGATTTTCAAAGGACTTGGTAGATTTTCAAAGGACTTGGTAGATTTTCAAAGGACTTGGTAGATTTCCAAGGGACTTGGTAGACTTTCAAAGGACTTGAGAGATTTTCAAAGGACTTGGTAGATTTTCAAAGGACTTGGTAGATTTTCAAAGGACTTGGTAGATTTTCAAAGGACTTGGTAGATTTCCAAGGGACTTGGTAGACTTTCAAAGGACTTGAGAGATTTTCAAAGGACTTGGTAGATTTTCAAAGGACTTGGTAGATTTTCAAAGGACTTGGTAGATTTTCAAAGGACTTGGTAGACTTTCAAAGGACTTGGTAGACTTTCAAAGGACTTGAGAGATTTTCAAAGGACTTGAGAGATTTTCAAAGGACTTGGTAGATTTGCAAAGGACTTGGTAGATTTTCAAAGGACTTGGTAGACTTTCAAAGGACTTGGTAGACTTTCAAAGGACTTGAGAGATTTTCAAAGGACTTGAGAGATTTTCAAAGGACTTGGTAGATTTTCAAAGGACTTGGTAGATTTTCAAAGGACTTGGTAGATTTCCAAGGGACTTGGTAGACTTTCAAAGGACTTGAGAGATTTTCAAAGGACTTGGTAGATTTTCAAAGGACTTGGTAGATTTTCAAAGGACCTGGTAGACTTTTAAAGGACCTGGTAGACTTTCAAAGCACCTGGTCGATTTTCAAAGCACTTGGTAGATTTTCAAAGGACCTGGTAGATTTTCAGACATCATTTCTTTTGTTAATACTGTTTTTATCAATTGAAACAAAAACTTCTCATATGAGCAGAAATATTTATATCAAAATAATTTCTTTTACAGATACGTCAAAACAGGTTGTGAAACTCTGAAATTAATCTTGCGAAACTTCTCATCTGTGATCAGGCTAAATATCACTGCACCTGTTGGTTCACACGGTGTGGACATTCCTCGAGAGGAAAGATATGCTAAATGTCTCAAATGTCATGACAGCCTTTTGCAAATTAGGGCTTTTCTGCTGAAGCGACAGACTTTACAAGGTAAGGGATAAAAATAATTGACTTATAGTCCAATATAATGGACCAATGTTATGGCAAGGACATGTTCCATACATTATGCTACTGAATCATACTGAATACTGTCTAAATGTCTTGTATTTGATGTGCATTCAGGCGTTTTACACATAAACTGCAACGTTACTCATATGTTATGAAGCTGTGTAAGAAAGACCCTGTTATCTAAGATCGTTGTGCGGTTTCTAGGTTAGGTTTTCTATCTGACAATGTGAGAAATTACGCCTGACTTCACAGCAACCACATGGCTTTTGTCAATATTTTGTATGAAAAATTCTTCATAACATTGGTCTGTTGTGCGGCCGAATCGGTTCATAAGTTTCTATTTAATATTTTTTTTTATCCTTTTAGGTGATTTAGGTGTGATATTTCGAGAGCTCCAAACAATGTTACAGGGTATAGACAGTTGAAATTGGTGAACACATTTGTGGAGCTGGATGAGTATTTATATTAGTGCCTTTTTACTTATTATATTATCAAATAATAATTAGTCGTTAGAAAACAAAAACACAAAACAAAAACCAACCTTGAACAGAACACTTCCTTATCATGAACTAAAACAAGGATAGATGATTATTATTATGAACTAAAAGTGGATTTATCAAATAATAATTATTATGAACTTAATTATTATGAATTTTACCGTCACGATTTTAGTAATTTATTGAAGATTTTTTTTTTAAACGGTTTAAATAAATATTTTTGTACAAGATTTTGATACACGCTCGTTAGTGTTTTTATTAGGTGCAAATGTTTTTTTTTGTACGATTTTGCTATATAAAACAATCGGATATAAAAGGATTGATAGCTGGATAATTATTTAATAATTAATTTTTATATATATGTTATTTATATTGTGTTAAAAGTGCCTCTATTTTTAATATTTTAAAAGAAATAAAATATTGTTTGAAATTCAATAATCTACAACTTGTAATAAAATAAAATTATTTTGTTTAAAACTAAGGTGACCGTATTTATAACGGGTTTTTAAACATCTTAAATATGATTTTTTAATTGTTTTTTTTTTTTTAATATAAAAATTATACATAACAAACATGATTTACGAAAATATTTAAAAAAAACACATATTATTTAAGAAATCTAGAAAAATGATTTTAAATTGAGCCAAACTTTTTGATAACATAATTTCTTATATTGTACTGAACAAAAAATACTTTTCACATAAAATTTTGTAAAGAATTTAATTAAATTCAGCAAGATTTTAAAAATATTCTAATTTATATAAAATATTATTTTTATAAAATATTCTTTGCGAAGACTGTCAATTTTAGTCAATTCGAAAATACAAAATCAATTTTTTATTTGTTTAAAAAATACTTCTAGTTGAAGTATATTCAAATTAAATGTTGAACATTATAATTTTTTAAAAATCCGGAACAAAGATTGATTCTAGAATGAAATATAATGCATTAATTTTTTTCATATCAAAATGACTAGAACAATTCACTTACTCTAAAAATAAAAGCCAATTTAAGTGTTATTGCTAATAAATTGTCTAAACTTTTCTTTTTTTTTGGATTTTGAAAACCATTCGATTAATATAAACGATGTGCGTCAATATTTTGTGCAAAATTGAACAATATATTGAATTTTACATTTCAAAAGTCTAAAACAATTCACTCTACACTAAAATTAAAACAGATGAAAATAAAATAAAATTTAATATTGCATTTTCTGAACTAGGTCTCCTTTTTATACAAAAATAAATATTTTATTTTCTGAATTCTTTCTTAAATTCTAAATAAATAAAACAATCGTGTTTAAATGTTATAAAAATACTTTATTTGTTTTGAACTGTTATTAATAATAATAATTAAATTTTGCAATGTTATTTTATTTGAAAATTTCATTTATTCAGTCCATTTTATTTAAAAAAAAAAATTAATTTAATTTAAATTAAATATTTATCAAATAAATATTTAATTTAAAAATATTAATATATTAAAATAACATTTTTCTCTACACTTTTTATATTTAATTTAAAAGTAAAGTTTTTTTTCTGAATTTTCAAATAATTAAAAAAATAGTATTTTAATATATAAAATTAATTTAATATATAAATTCTTTAAGCGTTCTTTTTTTCTATAAATAATTCATTTATGAATAACATTTCTGTATACTTTCTTAATAATAAATTGAAAGAATTTACTTTTAAATAATCTTAATTATTTAATTTTTTAAAATCATAATTAATAAAGCTTTTGTTATATATAATTTTGTTATTTATAATTTTTAATAATATTATTTCCAAAGTATAGTGAAAAGCAGTTCAATGAGTAATTTTCTAATTAATCGTTCTTAACAATTTTTTATTTTTAAATTAAAAATGTAATTCAAAAATGTAAAAAAAATTGTTAGTTTGTTTTTAATACTTCCTGAAGAAGGTGACATTCCATATCCCCGAAACATAAAAAAAATATAAACTAAAACTTAAATATTTTTTTGAAGAAAAAAAGGAGACTTCTAGTTAAATAATACCAAAAAAATATTAATATTTAAAGTCTATTTGTGTATACCAAGTTGTCTTAGGTCTTTTTTGTGAAAAATCTAATATATTATTTAATTTTGAACAAATTTACTTAAAATACCATTTATATAGCACGAATAGTTTAAAAGTTATAAATAATTTTATGGTAAATGCACTTTTGCTAAATAATCACAAAAATCAAGTTAATAAATAATAATAAATTAATAAAAATTAATTTTGAGAGTGAATTGAATTATTTTAGAGACTTTTGATATCATAATCTACATTAATATTTTATGTATTATTAAAAAAAAATAATTACGATACTTCTTACAAATTTTACAAATTAGAACACAGTAAAAAAATAGTCTTTGTGCAACTAGCACTAGAAATTGCAATTTGTTCCTAAAATATTTTATTGGCATGAAAAAATATAAATGAAATATTATAATTATTTATATATTATTAGAATATAATATATGAATTATTATGTAGTTTTAAAATGTTTATAAAATATTTTTAATTTCGTACAACAAACTAATACATTTGTCGAAAAAATATTTTATGGACACTAAAAATATATCATAAATCCATTACATAATAATTATTGTTTCATATAGCATCATCGTATATAAAATCCCACTTTAACAACATTTTTTTAATATAAACAAAATATTTTGTAACAAAAATATTTTCTCCGAGTCTTGCCGAGTATAAAATTAAATAAAATATTTTTTACCTAAATATTTTTTATGCCAATAGTCTCCTTAGAAATAAAAAATGTACTTAGCAGCACTTTATTAATATATTAACAATTTATCATAACAATATTAGTAAAGCAGTGGCGTCCAAGCCCCCCAAGTTTAATATAATGTGGAAATTAAAAAAAAGCATAATGGAGCTTTAATAAAATTAGTATTAGTAATAGTCATAAATTAGGTTTTAATGACTGCACATGTAATTGACTCATATTAGGGTAAAAGTAGTATTATTTTTGATTTTTATATACTTTTAAAAACGATTGTAAAATTGAAAACGCTCGTGGTACATTCAGGTCTTAAATCGTTT